TATAATTCAACATATTTATTACTTCAAATGTTTTTACAGTGGATACTTATATTTGAAATACACATCCCATTTTTGTTTCTATTTTAAACAGTGTGTATTGTCTGTCGGCCTGCACATTCAAAATATCTTAATAAAGAAAATGTGCTCTCCAGCAAGGATTGAATATGCAGATTCAATCCTTGCTAGAGGTCACATTTTCTTTAAGATTTCTTGAATGATCAGGCTAATAGATGTAATACACACTGTTTAAAATAAAAATGGGGCAATTATTTCAAATATGAGTATCTACTATAATATTGTTTGAAGTAACATTTAAAAATGATTTTTTTTTCTGTATGACCTAAATATATAAATTATTTGGTATTTAATTCCTTAATTATAAATATACACTGGGATTTTAGTAGCTTCTATTAGTCAATATAATTTTTCAGAATATGAGAAAATAGTCTGTTATTAAATATGTGAAACATCCATACTTTGGAAGAGTTTTTATTTATGTGGAATTCATACTCAACCATATAGAGATTGTCACAGTTTTGCCAAATTATAATTTAAATCCAGGATAGTTTTATCTTTTCCATATGTATTGTATTTTAATATAAATGTTTTTATATTTTTATTTACATTAGTATTTTCTTGTTTGTAAATCTATAATATTTGAAGCTCAGAAACTGACAGGATTTTATTCTATTTTCATTGGAACTGAGCTAATTTCTTTATCATTTAAAAATTGCTTCTTGAACTGACTTGTTTGGAAAAATAGTTTTTTTTTTTTTTTTTTTTTTTTGCACTTGCTTCATGAAGTTACATATGGTATAAAGGGTTTTCTGTATGGAAAATGGAATTTTTGAGTAGAGTTCAAATTCTGTCTGATTCATTCATTTTGCACTGATTCCATTGGGAAGGTATTGAATCCATTTCTTCTTCTAGCTATGGTTGAAAGAGTTGAGCAAACTGAGAACTTTAGCCTTGATAGGGTAACCAACCAGTCTTGGGGAAGGACAACTTTGAATTCCAAAAGTGGGATGGGCTATCTTGCTTTACACACACTCTTTGTAGCTGCTGACACAGTCTCTCAATGACCCCCATAATTAAGTAATATGTTACACAATGCATACATGCTTATTGCTTCACGTTAACTGAGGATTGGTTTAAATTTGGTCGTCTGTACTAATGCTGATCTTGAAATCTGTTTTGCAAAAGTCCTACGTTTTTATAAATGTGCAGTGGTTTTTAAGAAAGTAAGTTTCACACTTTCATCATATAACTGTGCAAAGATGTTTTATGTGTGACTCACTTATTTTATAGTTTTATAGAAATAGCTTTGTTAGTTAAAATAGGTGTGTACTCGATAGTGATATACCCCAGTCTTCATTTATAAAAAAAAAAAGAAAAAAAAAGTACTGGAAATTTTTGCATAAACCAAGTTTTTTTTCATTTCTTTTATATTAACACAATTGCAGCATACAGTGTGTTGATAGTAAAAGCTGCAGTGTGTTTGTTGATCAGTACAGTAAAATTTTGTTTTGTGAATTTTTGGGGTTGTGTAGAATTTTAGAGATGAGGAAACAAAGTTAGAAGAAAAAATAACCAGTAGTAGATTTGGCAAAGAATGGACTATATTCTGGTTGGTATATCAAGTTTCATTACTGATTTTTTTTCAATCTCTGCAAATTTTAAATCCCTAGATTACAGCTTGAGTATGAAACTTGAATAGCTGGTTGAAGTAAGTCTACTGAATTGAAAGTATGAACCTCTTAACTAAAGAATCCACAGGAACCATACAACTTTTGACAGGAAAAATGTTTCATGTCATACTCTGCTATATGATAAGAGAGCCAGGCATTTAGTATATGAAGACCACTTCTACTAAAGTAAATACATTGTTTTAGTTATGAAAATATTTTAGCATGTTTATTTTTTTTATGTTAAGAAAACAACAGCCATGGGAATGTTTATTATTTTCCTTATGCTGTCATTAAAAACACTTCACACAGACTGATATGAAACAGTTTTTCAGATAGTTGTTATGGTTAATAAAAAATCTTTGGTTTAATTAGCTTCCATCTTCACTGCAAATGGAATCTGATTATTAAATTTTTATTCTTGTATTATTCCAGATATTTGCCGTGTATGTCGGTGTGAGGGCACTCCGGACAAACCCCTCTACCACCCATGTGTCTGCACTGGAAGCATAAAATTTATTCACCAGGATTGGTAAGTAGTTTTATGGAATTGTATTTTTTCTTATTTAGTGATTTATTGTTTTTTTTTTTTTTTTTTTTTCCCCTTCTCCTTCCCAATTTAATCACTTTTTACAATGTGTATGATAGGTGAAAGGTATTTAATATATCCTCTGCATACACACACACACACACACACACACACACACACACACGTGTGTGTGTCTGTAATATATATGTGTGTGTGTCTGTAATATATATGTGTGTGTGTCTGTAATATATATGTGTGTGTGTCTGTAATATATATGTGTGTGTGTCTGTAATATATATGTGTGCGTGTCTGTAATATATATATGTGTGTGTGTAATATATATATGTGTGTGTCTAATATATATGTGTGTGTGTGTGTGTGTGTGTGTCTAATATATATATGTGTGTGTGTCTTATATATATATGTGTGTGTGTCTAATATATATATGTGTGTGTGTCTGTAATATATATATATATATGTGTGTGTGTGTGTGATGCAAGTGTAATATGTATATATGTGTGATATGGGTGTTAATAATGATTGTAAAGCTATGAAAATCTTAAAAGAAAATAGTTCAGCTTTTGCCTATATGCTTTAAAACTATATTAGTTCTAACTAGACTAATGAAAATTCACAGATTATCCCTCCTCTTGTTCTCTTCTATTCTCTTTTACCATTTGCCAGTATCTTCTCATTCTCTCCCTTATCCTTTCCAATCTTCATTGGCCATCTGTTTTTATCTAAATACTTTACAAACCTGAATTAGTGTTCTGTGAGGTGGGGGAATAAGGAATGCACAAATATTTTCTACTATAGACTTTTATTTATTATTTATTTTTTTTTCTCTATTCTCCCTAAAGAATTAAAATTTATCCTAGTTTTTAGATTATTTTTTTTTTTTTTTTTTTGCTCATTGTCTCTTGATATCCAGCCAGAAAGCATGTTGTCATTCTCTGCATTCCATTTCTCTCTCTCACTCACTGACACACTTTATTACCATAAACATTATTTTTAGTGGGTACATATTTGGATAGACATCCTTGTACTTTTTTTTGTCCTGCTGGACTAGATCATCGAAAGACTTATTAAAGAAAATGTACCTCTTGGCAGGGTTGTTGAACCTGAAGTACCTTTATCTGGAAAGCCACCTTAGCCAGAAGTGCTATTATCATTGTGGCCACAGAGGTCCTTGCAGCAAGGCAAAACTCAATTATTCTTTTGAAGAAATCTACATCTCTTGTTGGAACTCTTTTTGGTGTCTATATCTGCTCGCTTATATTTTTGAACTTAAAATGAACATGTTAATTTTCAACATTCTAGGCCAGTAGATGTTTATATTTCACAGTGTTTTTTAAAACAATTTTGCTCAAACATTTGTACATGTTAAAAATAAGACTTTCTTTAGTAATTTCCTACTTGGTGCCTCAACTGTATGAATTTAAGTATGCTACTAGATTGGCAACTAGGTCTCACTGTTGAAATACAGTTGTATGTTCTATTCTTATAGTTTCTTTTCTCAGCTGTGGAATTCTGGCTTCTTGCTTCTCTTCCTCCTACAATCATTAAAAATTTAAATGCAATGCCAATTGCCATCTTCTCTCCCTCTCTGAATCCTTTTCTTTATTGTTCTTTCTCTTCACTAAACTCTTTTCTTTCTCTTTCACTCCCAGTAACCCCTTGTGCTCTAGTGGCATTATTGCCTTGCTTGGGGTGAAATGATTTAAAAAAAAAAAAAATGTTGGTTTACACCTGCCTCAAAAAAACCCAAAAATAATTGCTTAACCATTATCACTCTGTATGTGATTTCATTTGCTGTACAAAAAGTTTATCCTGCCATTGAAGGTGACTCTGATCTCTGAACAATAGTGTGTTTTAATTTAATAGTTGTTGTCATATCCAGTTATGGCAACAGAAAAAAACTTTGAGTGAAATTAACAGTAAAGATATGGCCTTGAAAAAAAGATGCAGTGGAAAAGGAAGTAATATTAATGCAGAGTGCTAAAGCTTAAATGACTTTGTTTACATTTGAGGCACAAAAATATGATACTACACTATATATGGGGATCAGGCAGATACTACGCTTTGATCCTAGGTAGAAAAGCAAAATGGTCATGTATACAAATGGAATAATAATTCCTTGGTTCTATCAACTCTGACATTTACAGTTAAAACTCACCATGCTATGTCCAAATCACCTACATTCCCTATGTAAGGAGGAAATTTACTTATACAGCTTTTCCCCAAGAACTGCTACCTTGTGAAATGGGCTGCTGCATGGATGCTTCCCTGAAAACTTTAATCTTGACCTCTTAAAATCAATGGTCAGTTATCTATCCTCCTTATCTGCATTTTTTACTCCTCCCCCTTACATGCATATCACATACTTCATTCAGTAAGCCACTACCTTGAGTGGCTCCTTAGCCTTCTATTGAATGATCTTTCAGATTGAAAAAAAAACAATTCTGGTTTGGCATATAGAAATAATGATTATAACTGTCTTAAAACAAAACTTTATAACTTTTCAAGCTTAGAGCTTCAGCTTTTTGATTTATTAACAATTACAGCATGGTCTTTCTACTTGTGTATAAGTTATGAGTAATTTCATTTTGTTCAAGTATTAATTAATATTTTTCATTATTAGAATGTTATCTGCCATGAAAGAATTCTGTTATGTGCCTCAGTTTGTATTTCCTTTATTAGATCCAACTAGTTCAACATTAGAAACTGGGTTTCACTACCCAGCACCACCTTAAACTACTAAACCCTCTACTAAAAACCCTCTAGATGACAAATTAATTGCAAAAAAAAAAAAAAATAGTACTGAGTAGTTTTAGTGTAAATGTGCCATCAGCATTTAATTAATATTGGCTGATTAATTTGTTGCAACAGATGTAGTATCTGATTTCATTTTGTGTATTTGTAAATTTCTTCCTAATTTCAAGGTCAGGATTCTTAAATTAGTCTTTGAAGGTAAAAAGTGTTTGTTATTCATCAGTAGTTAGGGACATATGGAAATTGTAAAACTATATATATATATATATATATATATATATATATATATATATATATATATATATATGCACACATGGGAGAACGATATATAGATTTTTATATAGAAAACAAACACACTCAATGCATTAGTTGCTTGATGTAATGAATATGACCATAATTTTGATTTTTAAAAACATACTGCTACTTTAATTAAGAGAAAGACGAAAATGTATAGAAAGTGCTTTTAATTACTAGATCATCCGCTGTAAATTTATGTCTAGATTCTTACATTTCAGTATTTTCTATTGTGATGTGGGGTATTTAATAACAAAAGTGATAAAAGTAAAAGAAACTAATTTAAATAGGTCTATCTATCTATCATATATATATATATATATATATATATATATATATATATATATATATATAACAGCAAAAAATTCAAAATTACCTCATGTGGGTATAGTCTATTTCAGACCAGCACTGCCTAATGCTGGTCCTCCTCAGCCCTAGACTGACTGTCTTTGAATGGAGGCTTTGAGTTAAGTTTAGATAACACTCAGTGAAAATGTACAGAGCTACTTAAGGGAACACCTCGTTTTGATAAGGAGTCTGGATTGGTGACAAGGATATGAGCCTGTGTAAGATTTTATTTATGTTCAAAGCCTTTAGTTGGATGTAAATGAATTTTGGTTCCTGTTAGTAGATTATATTATTAAGTGGGGTGAGGATTTGAAGACATGACAATTTAAAGTTAGAATATATATTATCTAAATCAGGGGTCGGCAACTCATTCGACCCTGCGGGCTGGATCGTGTTATCCTTGTCAACCTAAATATTTAAAACCATAATAAAAATAAACATTGAGAAATCAGAAAAACAAAAGAAAATCTAAAATTAAAAAACACCTAACAAAAATTAGTTTTCCTCAAGGAACATCAAAATACTTCAAAGTGAAAAAATTCAACTGAAGTGAAATGGATGAAATTGACGTGATTGAAAATTGTTCCACAAACAAAACACACACACACACACACACATCAAACAAAAATGAAGCACATATACCCATACATACGAGTACAAATAGTTGCAAACATATACACTTACGTACGTACACATGCGGTATCATCCACACATTCATGAGGCATGTATGTATAATGCGCGTATGCTTAACTGTCTTTAGATTTCTGCTACCTCGCATGTCAGTCCCTCCCTGGCCTCTTTCACTATATCATTCCTTTCGCTTCTGTTATCTTTTAATATAGCCAAGGGTCATAACAAATATGTATCCATTATTTGACATTAAACGTAGGCAACGCAACTTGGTAAAATAAGTCTCATGAAAGATAAATGGCAGATAGTATAATATTTTTAGTGCACTGAGATGTGTAGACATTCTATGGAAAATGACATAACAAATTTCATTTGAAGGTCATCTCTCATGTTAAAAATAATCATTGGTAATCAGGCTCTCGGGCCGGTCAAAATGCCTTCGCAGACTGGATCTGGCCCGCAGGCCATAGGTTGTCAATCCTTGATCTAAATAATAGATTCCCAAAATCTTTAAGTAAAACTGAGGCACCCAATGGAATAAATCATTGAGAACCAGTAGCAAATGATTGAATTGACATTAAATGACTGAAGGTTAGATGCAAATAGAATGAAGATAAAATGCTGCCTTGAAAATTGACTTAAGTTGTAGACAATGATGTGTTAAATCAATCAAATATAACTTGATAATAGCTTATTCAGTCAACATTTAGTGACATGGGAAGTGTCTTTAGCATAGATTTTTGTTAAAATTTTTCTTGTTTTGTGGAATGATATACTAATACCTTGGAATGATAGGAATACCTATCAAAAACTCTATTTTATGCAAATTAGGAATTTGTGCTCTATAAAAAAAAATGTATTTAATATTTTAAATTCTAAAAATCCGTGTATTCTTTGTGTATGTTCATGACAGATGTTGTATACAATGCTTATTATTTATTTATCTATTTTATTTTTCAGCCTGGTACAATGGTTAAAATATAGTAAGAAAGAATACTGTGAATTATGTAAATATAGATTTGCTTTCACACCAAGTAAGTATACATATAGATATATATCTCCCCCTCCATTTGTTTTATTTTTTTTAATTTTCTTCATCTACCCAATGAGTTTCATTTATACTCAACACTAGCATGGATCATGTTAAAAATGATTGGATTATTTATATTTTGATTGTAATTTCTGCTTAGGATCAGAGTATGTGTGCATTCTGGGAAATGTTTTACACACACACACACACACACACGTATGTATGTGGAGATCTAAAAACAGAAATAAAGAATGCACTTTTAATTTTTTTTTTTTATTAGATGTTTTGATGATTTTATTGTCTTTAACTTAAATCTAACATTATTTGAATGCTTGAATCTTCAATTATTCATGGGCTGGAGGGGATAATATACAGGGTGTTCCCCCAAAAAAATTGACATAATTTTGTAGTCTAATAACATAGCCAATTTTTGCTCAAAGGATCTCAAATTTTAACAAAATGTGTAGTAAAAAAAAAAAAAAAAAAAATTGTTGACTCTGTAGACTTATCTTTATAAGAATCTATCCAAATTTAAATTATCAGATATACAACTGGAAGCTTGTAGCTTCAATCTAAAGTCTACCACCGGATTGCACACACACACACACACACACATATATATATATATATATATATATATATATATATATATATATATATATATATATATATAAAATAATAAAAAAAAACTTAATAGTGAGAGTTGAATTACACCAGGAAACAGCACTATTAAAAAAAGTGCTCAATAGACATATAAAAATTTAACAAGTAGAGCTTTTAAGTATTGAAAATTAGGAAATCAGCCGATTCCGTTACCTTGGTTTCACCCTTTCAGTATCTTCAGGCAATTCCGGTCAATTGATTTCTTAATGATTTATTTAAAAAAAAAAAAATTATGTACGCTATATTTTTAAAAGATAGGTGTGGTAGAAGGTGAGAAGGAGGGGAAAATCAAATGTATTAGAAATTGGGGGATTAAATGAAATATACATACTTTCTTTTTTATCTTACTTCAAACGAACTCAGAAGGAACTCTTTAGTATGTCTAGAAAAGGACATAATCTCCAATCTCTGGTTTAAAAGGTTTTTTGGTCTGGAAATAATATAGCAAATTTTTCTAGTTGACAGCAACAGTCATAGCAACATCTGCATTTTTGTGTGTGTGTATATATATATATATATATATATATATATATATATATAAAGAGTGGGCGTATATAGTCCTCCACAGGCCATCAGTGTGTGTATATGTATGTATGTATGTATATTTAAGACATTTTTTATGTTTATACGTTCTTTTTATAGATAAACATAAAAAATGTCTTAAATAATTGTCAGAGTTTGTCCATTTCATATATACATATATATATATATATATATATATATATATATATATATATATAATATAATGAGTCAAAGTGGGAAAATTTTACATACACAATAATAGCGGTACACGGTGATAGAGAGAAGGATAAAGATCTAATTTGAGTTGGCTGATTAGAAACCTGCTGACTTTTCGGCATACATTTTCGATACCTAAGGTTTTAAATGAAATTTTAAAATGAAAAAGCTTTTTGAATATTTCATTTTAGCTTTAATTGAAAGCTTAATGATTAAATTTATTATTTCCATTAAGTAAAATATTCTGCTGTATTTCAGATAGAAATTATATCGATTGGAATGTCAAATTTAATTTCGATTTCGTAAGATTTTCTTAAAAGCGGCCATTTTCTTAATTTTAAGAAATTTGTAAACAAAAAAGTTTAAAATTCTTTCTGCAAAAAAGTGGAGGTACCTACTCTAATATGTATATATTTGTATATATGTGTATGTTTAACAGTAACATCTTGTGTCTTAGTGGCTTTATTGCCTTGCTTGGGGTGACCTGATTAAAGAAAAATCTTAGTGTGGAAAATGTAATTGGTGAGGTAGAGTTCATATTCTAGCTTAGTCTGTTGTATTCACTTTTGGACAAATGCCTTTGGAAAAGTTAGGAATCCAGTTCTTCTTCCTTTAGCTATGGGTTAAGGAAGAATAGAGAAGAAAAAAAACTCTGAATTTCAAACTCAGAAGGTAATGGGGAACTACAATAATATCTTAAACTATTTCTTAGATTATAATTATTAAAAACAAAAAATAAGTAAAAGTGTATATAACTATAATATTGCTGGACAAATGTTTTAAATTTGCATTGTTTTTTGAAAATCATACTAAAACTACTATATTATAACTTAATATATTACAACATAATATAGCTAAATTTGTTCAATATAATTTCCCTTTCAAGTAAATCGGAGGTCTTATTTGATGGCACAATGATTTAGTAATAATGAGCTTGTGCCTTGCTTTTTGTCCAATGTTGTTTCATTCATTAGAACCTCTTGCAATTAATTATTTGAAAAACCTTCTGCAAGAACAGGTTCACAAACTTGAAAGAAATCAGTTTGTTAACATTGGTGGTACTAGGGTCTTCAGGAACTTCAATTTGATTAAGTTGATGCATCTTCAAATGCTGTGACTGGCAAACACACACAAAAAAAAGCACAAGAACCTAAAACCTCACCATTTCATTGAAATTTAACATCAACTTGTCTGACAATCTGTGCAGTTCCTGTTATTTTTTTAAAATAAAATTTGCCTTGATTCCTTGAATTTTTTGCTTCATGTTTTAATTATTTAAATGAGAATGTGATTTTTTTTCTGTAAAATATGAGTACCTTTAGCACTCTGCAGTATTAATATTACTTTCCTTCCCACTGCATTTTTTTCAAGGCCTGTCAATTGCAGTCTCCTTATTGTTAATTTCACTCAAGTTATTTTCTGTTGCCATAGCAGGATATGACAACACAAGTATGAAATTCAAATAAATTCAGGGATCAGTCACCTTCAGTGGCAGGATAAACTCTTTGTACAGCAAATGAAGGTTCATATGTCACTCAACAAAAACAACCAAACCAAAATCCATTGCAGGTGTGAAATCAAATTGCATTAAGAGATGTTAATTATTAAAATTTAATGAAAGGTGAACTATTAATTCTGAATACAAAAGCTGGGACAATGTTGCTGATACTTAATAAATGGGGGTATGTGTGGGTATATGTATGTGTGTGTGTATATATATATATATATATATGTGTGTGTGTGTGCAATGCTAATGTTATTAACTGTTATTTGTACTATTAATATTTTCCATCTCTTCTTTTCAGTTTATTCCCCTGACATGCCTAAAAGACTCCCTATTAAAGATATCATTAGTGGTCTTCTTACTAGTATTGGGCGTGCTGTCCGGTATTGGTTTCATTACACATTGGTGGCATTTGCTTGGCTTGGTGTGGTGCCCCTCACTGCTTGTAAGTATATTATTTCTTATTTATTTAGGTCATCTTTCTGATTTTGTATTCTTTTTTCATACTTAGAGATATTAAGTAATGTCAACTTTGGTAGAAGATCAGATTCATGAAGCCACCTTCCTTGTGAGTCTGGTATGTTAACTCAATGGCAAATGCTCTTCTGTTTATTATACAGTGTAACCTGGCTATAAGAGAGTTGTCGGGACCGGAGGAGAAGTCTCTTATATCCGGGTTTGGTCTATTTTATATACATTAACACAGGCTCTAATTTGGGACCAGAGAAAATCTCTCTTGTATCCGGGTCTCTTATATCCGGGTTACACTGTATAAGGTGAAAAATGACTTTACAAAATATACCTCCTTATTTACTTTAGATGATTTATTTATTTTAAATTTAAAAAATAAGTTCTGTGCTTTGTAGGGGACCAGGAACAAAATTTGTTCAAGCCACTTCAGTATTTCCTCTTTTAAGAAATATCTCAAGAGCCAGGGATTAATCCTGAAGGACAGGTATTGCCTGGGGTGGGGTGGCTGCCTGGGTCTCAAACACATATTATACTACATTTTATTCCTGATTGATTAACACACAAAAACTCTAGTTGATCTTGAAAGTGTGAATAAAGATCAAAATACTAACAAAATAAATCAACCATTTTTTGGCTATTTATAAAAATTATTTTTATTATCTTTTTGTATTTTGAATTTTTTAGTTTTTAGGGTATTAGTTTGGAATTTTCCTTGGTAACATATTAACATTGAGTAAAATAAAAATAAACAAAAAACTTAAAAAAAACAAAACAAAAACTTAACCGTTTCAGCACATAATTAAATTTCATGGTTATTCTTGTAATGATGTTAATTATCCACCAAAAAATTAAAAACAAATATCCGCTTCTTGCAGCAGAAGGAGAGGTTTATTTCAGAGCCATAGGGTAAATCTGCTTTCTGCAGCAAAAGGCTTTAAACAGATTGCTTTTTGTCTTCAAAAATGTCATCTCTTCCATTCTTATTATGGTTCCTTTCTTTCAGATGTCTCTAATGAATCTTTATTTTTATTTCTATTTTTTTGACAGGTCGAATTTATAGATGTTTGTTCACGGGCTCTGTGAGTTCCTTACTAACCCTTCCTTTGGATATGTTATCAACGTATGTAACATTTCAAACTTTGTTTCTTACACTGATTTTGTTTCGTTTGATACAGTAGTTTCAAAGTTTATAACTTGTGTGATTGTGAGCAAGAATACCATTTTTTTTTTTATCTTGTTCATTTATTTTGGTAAAAGTCAACAAAAGAATGTTTTATTTGGGATAAATTAATTGTTCTTTAATTTTGATAAATATTTATTCCTGAGGGCATCATTATACATTGTTTTTTTTTTCTTCTGTGAATAGATTTGTAAATGTTAGCACAATAACTTCTTTTTTGTACCGTTATAGGTGATCCTTTAGTAAGGTGAAGCACTTGTTTATCTGATATACCCTGTTAATTCAGTTCAAAACCTTAAACATAATAAAAAAAAAACTTGTGTGTGATGAAAATATATATTTCTAATATTGATAAAAAAAAAAAAAAAACAATGTACATAGCATAGTTTAAATAGGAATTTTTTTATTTATTTATAATGTGTCCCTCCAGGATGTAGGTGATCATGGCTCTCCACAGATTCCTTTTCTTTATTATCTGTGAATTGCCATACATTCTTGGGAAAAATAATGGAGTGGTTTCCTGTTGCTTTCTCCAAAATTTTGAACTTAGTTTTCCATCTCCTAGACTGGTTGCAACTCAAAGCTGGAGAGCCCAGCCTATTTAGCTATTTAACCCATAGATAAGGGAAGAAAAGATGGATTCATGCTTTTCTCAAGAGCATTTGTATGAAAGTGGCTGCAACAGACTAGCCCAAAATTTGAACCTGCATCCTTGATTTCACTTTGTGCTTATATCCATTATAATACCCCCCCACATTAAAAAGTAGAAATCAATTTGCTGTAAAATACTTATTTTACTTGGTTTGCAGTTGGTGTTAAAGAAACTCTGGAATGTGAAAGAGAAATATTTTGAGTTTAATTTAGGCTCCTCCGTCCACCTACACCCTTTTTGGTTTCTGTAAACCTCAACAGGCAAAATGTTGCCGCATGTAGACATGGCATGGTTGTTACGGAAAATTGGGAGATAAAAATCTGATGCCATTTTCTTATTTGTCTCTTAAGGGTTTTAGTTTGTTATAATCTTGTTCATACAATGTTTATTCTCTTCTTGAATACATACAAGGGGAATGGTGAAAACTTCTCATCCTGACCCACTTCCTCAAATTAGTATATTAATGACCAAACATCAGGATACTACTATATTGTTTGTTATGTCACTGCAACTTGGTTCTTTATACTTCATGGTGACCCCCTTGACAGAAGGTGCTGATAGTATCAGCTTAGAAACCTAAGAATTTGCAAGGTGTTTCTCTACCTCTGCTAACTATCTCCCCACCCAACTTATTAAGTACAGAATATATGTTTACTAAATTTACCCGTGTTACCAAAATAATTATGACAATATTTAAGTTAAAACTAATTTAAGATATAAAATACGGTGTTTTATTTGTCAAGTTTAAATTAACAGAAAATTCTATTTCTATTATGTCATCAGAAAAGTTCACTTCATAGAGGTGGGCAATTAATCCATTTTTGTAGTGGACTCTTCTGGTGATGTAGAAAAGTTACACACACATAAATTAATTTGTGAATTAATACGAATAAAACTTAATATTCTATTCTTGTTGGCAGTGCTCCTGCTGTATATTTAGAGATTGATAAAATCCAAAGAATCAGCAATATTACTGGTCCTGACTTGGCATCTCAGCTTCAGTCACTTTGCTGCAATGTAGCTTTTTCTTTGTGCTTTTTCTATAAATACTTTCATGATAATTGTTCGGATGAACTTTTCACTATGGTACCTAAACTTTATGAATTTAAGTGCAGTACTAGATTGGCAACAAGGTCTTATCAATTCATAATTATAATTGAATTGGATAGACATAACTATAAGTTCTATGCTAACAGCTTCTTTTCTTGCACTTCTTGCTTGTGGAACTCGCTTTTTCTTTCCAGTGTTTTAATTTTCGAAAATTTAAATGCAATGTCACTTGCTATCTACTGTCTGGATTACTCTTCTATTCTTCTCACTCCCTAATGTTTTTTTTCTCTTTCTCTCCTTTTTTTCCTCTCTTCCACACTCACTAACCCCTTAAGTCTTAATGACTTCACTGCTTTGCATAGGGTGATATGATTTAAAAAAAAAAAAAAATAAAACTCAAAACTATCATCCTGCTACAGAAGTTGATAAACATTTTTATTTATGTTTCAGCTGTTGTGTGTTTATATGTAACCTCACGTATATCTCTCATCATGTATAGTCTGCCAAAAATGTGTAACTTTATAGTAGGTATGTTCATGAGATCGCTAAAAAAAAGCGCATAGTCTGATGAAAAAGACGTCAAACTTGACGAAAACAAAATTTTATCGCCAAAATGTTTGTTACTATTAAGAGTAAAGAACAAAGTAATTTTTAATTATTTTTTAAAATTTTTCTGTCTTTACTACAACATTCTAACTTTCGATTGAAAAACTTGTTTCTCGTCACAACTGGAAGTTTCCGTAAAAATAACAGTGAATTTTTTGTGCATTTTTTTTCTTATGAGACACATTAATTTTGAAAATCTTGCAAAAATAGAAATAATTGTCAGATTTTAATGAAACTTTCAGAAACTATTCAGGAATGATGGAAATAATTATAAATATGTTGTTTTTTTAAAAGTCATTATAAAAATATATTTTTTATACATATATTACCACCCCCCATAAATGAATTAAAGAAAACTGTAAAAGTTTATGGACGGCTAACGCAAGTCATTATATTAGTTAAAAACACAAGGCTTTGAGGAAAGTAAATCAGGTTTTTTTAAAAATCCGAGCTCGTAAACCAAAAAATCAGCTCTGAATTGTAACATACAAAACCCAATAAAACAAAGATACTATTTAATTTTAAATGCTTTTAGTTGCTTTTATTTGTTTTTATCAATATGCATAATATTGTCTGAAGGCAAAACTTTTTTTCGATGAAAATGAATTTTTAAATGAATTAATTGTTATTTAATAAATTATTTTATTATTTTTACATAAAGTTACTAAAAGTTGTTAAATATTCTAAAATTAGCGGTACTGGTGAATCCTGTATATGTTTTTTTTAGGTACCTGTATCTGTACAGATTATAAATAGTACAATCAACGAAGCAGCAATGAGAATAATCTTACTGTCCTTTACCCTATGTGTAGAAAAAAAAAAAATCTTAAATCAAATGTACGGAGGCCCGGAAGAAACATGATCCAATAAAAACATCACGTGACTTGATTTGTACGGCACTGTTAACGGCCTTTACATTTATATAAAATTACTTTAAAAAAATTATAATAATTTCCATCATTCCTGAAAGTTTCATTAAAATCTGACAATTATTTCTATTTTTGCAAGATTTTCAAAATTAATGTGTCATAAGAAAAAAATGAACAAAAAATTTGCCATGTTATTTATTTACTAAAGTTCCGGTGATGATGAGAAACAAGATTTTTCAATCAAAAGTTAAAACGTTCTAATAAAGATAGAAAAATTTTAAAAAATAATGAAAAATTACTTTGTTCTCTCCCCTTAGTAGTAACATAAACATTTTGGTAATAAAATTCTGATTTCGTCAAGTTTAAGGCCGTTTTTTTCATGCTATGACTACTTAAAAATAACGAGGTAAATAAGTTGTTAACATAAAGATAAATTGTCATTTACGACCTTCCGTACTATAAATTTCCGCACGTAATATGTCAGTGCGTGAGGAAAAACACGCACTTGTCATTTGACAATCAACACCGCAGTTCAGACTGGCTTTCTCCCATTTGAAAAAACATGTTTTCATCACAGAAAATAAGCAATCTTTGTTTCAAAATATACTAAATAAACTTTCTAATTTCTAATTTTTTTAAAATTAGTTAAAAAAAAATCATAATTGATTTTTTTAAATAAATTTTAAACGGCAATATTCACTTTTGTAAACAAACGTTAAAAACAACGGGAGATTATCGGTCTTCTGTCAATTTTTTTTTTTTTTTCGATTCAAAAAAATTGAAGATTTTTAACAAAAATTTTGGACGGGCTAGAAATTATTAAAAAATTTTAAAAAAATATTCAAAAAATACTTTGATCATTCCTCTTGATAATAACATTAACATTTATACGATAAAAAATTATTTTAATCAAATTTAAGGCCTTTTTTATTCATGGTATGCTATTTTTTTATCGATCTCATGAACATACCTACTTTATAGTAAATGGCCAATTGCAGTCTTTATAAGATTATCTGGAAACACTTCTTTGTAGCTTTATGGATTGAAATGTTTACTGAAATAAGGTTTGTTGTGTTACTGTTTCTAGTACCAAAGCTCAACATGACATCACTCTCATTTCTCTCAAATGTACAAAATTTTTATAAGAATGTGTTAATTAATACAGGATTTTGCTATGTATTTAGAGATTCTTAATAAAATACAAAGAAGAATCTGCAATGTTATTGGCCTGACCTGGCATCTCTATTTCAATCACTTTCCCACTGTTGTAACGTGGCTTCCTTGGACATTTTTTATATTTTTATTGTAATTGTTCTGATAAGTTTTCCTCTTTTCTACCTTGACTTTGCAAATTTAAGTGCAGTACTAGATTGGCCGCTAGGTTTCATCATTTTAAAGTTGGGATTGCTCGTTGTAACCATAACTTCTATGCTAACAGTTTCTCATTTCCTATTTCTCACTTCTGGATCTTTTTTTTTTTCTTAATTCTTACTTTTCAGTGAAATTGATCTTTAAAAATTTAAATGCATTGTCAATCATCATTTGTCTCCTTAATTCCTGTTCTTTTATTGGCCTCTCTCCTAAATGTTTTTCTCAGTTTTTCCACACTCAGTAACTCCTTGCATCTTAGTGGCTTTATTGCCCTGCTTAATGTGCAATTATTTTTGTTAGTATATAATAGAAAAAACAAAAATATATGTACAATTACAGTGAGTTGATTTAAGCAACACAACAGTCTTGTCTGGAGAAAGCAGTTGATCTCAACCATATGTAAAGGATCTCTCAAGACAAAAATGAACAGTTCACAAGATTGCACCATCACTGCTAATTTTGCCATTTTGAATCTCCTTTGTCAATTGATGGAAAAATTTTGGCTATCTTCCACTTTGAATGCATGTATTCAAATACTCAAATGTAAGAGTTATGTACCTATAGAATAAGTTGGCCTTGGTTTCCCAATAGAGACATCTGTATTTCCTTTGTATATGGCACCTGCAAGCATACACCCTTAGCCTTTTACAAGTTAAATTGCTATTTCATATAATAGTATGATGTGGGTGCTGAAAATTTCTTGACCTAACCCACTTTGCAAAATTGGACTAAACATCAGATTTTTTTAAAGGGCAGAACTGATGACTTTTTAGCACCCCCTCACCCATACTCATGTAGGGATAGTTTTGCAAACAAATAACATAAAATAACAATTATTTTGCATAACAAAAGTTTGTTTTTTTTTTTTTTTTCAATATGGTCTTTTATCTGTGTTCTGAATTCAATATTAAATTTTTATCACATAAATGAAATATTATGCAGCAAATATTTCATCTCAAAATTCACCTAATAACCATGTCAAGCTGCTGGCTTATTGCTTTTACTGTCTTGCACAATGATATGTACATGTATTATATAATGTGTAGGTGATGATGTTATATAATGAATAGGTGGCAGACCGTTATATAATGCATAGGCAGGGAACCATTATATAATATGTAGGTGACGCTACAATGAAATATAAATATCAAAACGCTTTGCTTCTGTATTTTTTTAGATAAAATCTTTCACTGTCTCTCTCCAATTAGAACAGTTACTTCACTCTTTTTTTCTGTGGTTACAACAGAACTTGCAATCAACTTTTGGACTCTACAAACCACATATGCACATTATTTAATCTTATGGTGTTTCTTAAAATAAATTCATTGTTATAAATTTTAGTTTTTATCTTTCAATTTCTACACATATATTTTTCAGTGAAACAACCCTTCAAACCTGACTTTCTCAAGATGGTGACTCCAAGTAGGACATATTTACTCAGGCATACATTATAGCTGAAAATTAATGATAGACTGTACACTACATAAATTTGATTGTAGCAGCAAAAAAAAAAAAAAATTTTTGATAGACTCATCTTCACTCTCCTCTTATTATACTTAACAAGGCTGTGTAGGGATGTTAAGGTTTATGCCTTTTTTTTTTTTTACAATGATTAAATGAACACTAGTAGTAGTTAAGCAGAATTTGACCTGATTATGTTACTTCTGACTATTCTTTATACTCAACAGATTAGCTTACTATTGTCCTCATCTTTGTTGTTGTTATCGGTCATTTGTGAACTCTGGCCTTCGTCAGGTATATGTTGATCCAGGTAACTTACAGGGAATTCTGAACTTTTTACTTAATCTACAGTTGGTAGATTGTTCTTGTTCCACTGTTCATGTCTAGGGATATCTTGTCTAGTTCTTATTTTTAGTACTACTCAGTATTTTTTCCCCACTGAGTCCAAGTACTCACTGCTCAACCCAGATAATTGCCTACCATGTAAATTAAATAAAGAGTTCAGTTCAGAATTCCCTGTAAGTTACCCAGATTAATATACACCTGATGAATGCCAGAGGCCACAACAGCCGAAATGTTGTGATAAAAACAACAAAGATGAGGACAACAGTCCGAATATAAATAGTCTAAATAAAAAATAACCTCTTGTTTAAGGCATCCATTAGAATCTCGTTTTTTTTTTTTTTCTTTTTCTACTAACTTTCACATATAACCATATATATGTGGTGGGGCAGAAATACCTTACATGTAATGGTAAGACATTAGTAACAATGGTGTCTTTATCCTCATCCCAGAAATTCAGGCAGATTTTGTTTATATCTTTGATTAACTTTTGGATTTTATACACTTATTATAATAAATGTAGGTCGGAAAGAAAATTTGAGATATTTACTAATATTTAGAAATACTGTGTACTGACCTTGATTGATTGATTCATTTTTGTATTTTCCAGAGAAAATATAGTGTCCGATTGTTTCCAAGGCTGTTTTGTTGTTACTTGTACCCTGTGTGCTTTCATCAGTTTAGTATGGTTACGTGAACAGATTTTGCATGGTGGTGGTCCTGATTGGTTGGAACATGAAGATGAAGCAAATAACCAAGGACGGGTAAGTTTGGGTTGCATGACTGGGGGGGGGTGCTGAAATCTGTTGACATATCTAGAATGTGTTGTTTATCATTATCACTTTGAGACAAGTTTTTTTTTTTTTTTTTGGTTTCTTCATAACAATAACCGGCTGATAACATTAAACAAAGGATATGTAAATAGAAACAATTTACATTCATTTTTATTAAATTCATTATGATAAATGACTTTACAAGAGAAAAAAAATGTATCCGAAACTGATTATAATAAACACAATGATATTGAAATCACTTTAAATAGGTTTTTTGGACACTGATTTTGATTTATAATCATTAGATAACATTATAGGAGATTATAATAAATCGCTTCCTCTTTGTGTCTATAAATGTAAACACAACATATAGGTACCTCCAAAGATTTGCTAAAAAATCAGCATAAATGGTTAAAAATTGCCCCAAACTTAATAAAAACAAAGTTTTATCATTAAAATCTTTATTATTATTAAGAGGAAAGACTAAAGGATTTTTTTTTCATTATTAAATAAGGGAAAGCTTGGAAAAACACTATGGGAAAGATAGACAGAAATACAGAGCAGTAGCTACTCTTGGGGCAATTGAGAGAAGATTGCACAAATTTATGAGTACTCAATGGGCAATATTTCTCATAGGGATTAAAAATGGTTTATCTGCAAGTTTGAAATCAAGCTTCTGCAAATATGAGAGAAATCTTTGAGTTTTAAGTTGTGCATACATTTCTTGTAGTGCATTCAGTTATTCTTTCAACTACAAATTTTTGCAACATGTTGATGCATATTAAAATCCTCCCAATACTTATTGTTGAAGTTATCACTAACATTTTTTGTTTAGATTTACAAACTCTTCATTACGTTTCATAGGACTTGATGGTAAGCAATATTTTTTCTTAAGAAAATTTCTTTGCTTTTTAACAATGAAGAATAAATTCTTAGGATTTCTTACTCTTAAGCATGCAACATACAATTGGCTATGCATAGATATTTCTTTCTGGAGCCAAATTCCAACTTTTTGAAGTGTTTGGCTTTGTGATTTGCTTATAGTTCTCATGAATGCAAAGTGAACTGGTAAATAGATTCTTGTATATATATATATATATATATAAAAACTTGTGTAAGAAAACAATATTGCATTTTTATTAAATAAGTATTTGTTATTTTAATCATTAAATTGTTTTTAAAATAGTGGGAGTATTTTGTATGTTAAATAATAAAACTTAATTTTTCCAAAAAATTAATGAAAATTTATTGTACTAAGCTGTGCAAGATAGTAAAACCAACTGTATTTTGTACCCACTTACCTGTTTGCATTCCTCTCCCAAATTTTGTTTCAATTGGTCAATGTATGGCTATTTTAGAGAGTATGACAGAAGTACTAATGAAAGTTTTATACACTATTTACATTATTTGGACTATTGTCCTCATCTTTCTTGCCATATTTATCACAACAATTCAGGCCATTGTATGCTCCTGCCTTTTTCAGGTGGTTGGAATGTCGAACTGAACCCTTTATTTCACTCACTGGGGTAGACTGTTCTAGTTTCACGTGCCATGTCTAATGAATGTCAGTTATCAGTTATCTTCTGTTAATTCCCCTCCAAGTTCTCCACTGCCTTAACCAGGTATTGAACTCACACTCTTTGGGTTCTGTCACTGAATCTAACTAACACCTTTATCCACTGTGCAAGGGTTCAGTTCGACATTCCAACCACCTGAAGAAGGCATGATTGTACAACGATCGAAACATTGTGATAAATATGGCAACAAATATGAGGACAATCGTCTGAATAATGTAAATAGTGTACATAATACCTCATCTCAGAAATATAGACAGTCATAGTTTTATATATAGATTTATGAACAAGTTGCGGTTAGCCAAACTTTGAAGTTAAATATCTCAAAACTGCAGATAAGTGCTTTTTACTTTTGGGTGACAATTTTGATAAAATTTTTTAAAAGAAAAAGTGACATATTTCAGTATTCATTTCGATTGGCTATTTTATTTTTCAGAATTTCTTTGATGGAGGTGTCATGATGAATAACTTGATGGGTATGGCACCATTAGGTCGAGGAGCTGCAGGGAATGCTAATGCTGAAGGCAATGGAGGAGCAGCTGCTGCTGCTGGTGAAGGTGGCAATTTGAATGAAGAAGGAGTTGCAGGAGCACCTGAGGTGGAAGTATTTGATGTTGCTGCAATGGGAGCCAACAACGGTGCGCAAGGTAAATATGACAAAGATCTACAAGATAATGATTCAATTTTCAAAGTGCTTATTTGTGTATGTATATGTCTTAGAAATGGCCTACGGAATGATGGGGATAAAATTAGCTTATCGGAGGCTTCAACTTTGGATATAAGAGGTTTTTTTTTTTTTTTTTTTTATAGATTTGTGGAAAAAAATATCATGTTTCATGTTATATCCCAGGTTGTTGGCAAAAACGATTGAAAATAAATAAAAAACAAGTGTATTTTAACAAATGATAAAACAACTATTATTCATTTACTGCCTGAGAATAGCAAGGGTTTTTTTGGATTGAAACCATGAATTCCACATCTTTGTCAGCTTGTCACCATGTTGGATTCAGAAGTGCCCACTTCTTCTAGCAGACAAGGGAAGTAACTCAATTGTATTTTGAATTATTGTCCTTTATAGGGGGAGTAAGTTAGCCTCTCCTAACAATGTGCATGAAAGTACAGTACTTATTTTTCTCAATCCAGTTCATTTGCTTTTTCTAATTTGCTTATCCTCAGGTATCTGCTAGACAATTTCCTTATAGATAAAGAAGTGACTTAAAATGAGAGATGTGGTTCTGTAAACAGATGTCAAGAATTCCATGGACAGAACACATGAAAAATGAGTGCAATGTGTAAGTCACTCATACTTCAAATTAAAGAGAGTTTAAGTTTTTGGCACACACTATGCGGAAGGACATCTTGAAAAACTTAATCCCTCTAGGACACATTAAGTATGCTGTTATTAACCTTTACACACTGCAGGCAAAAATTTTCACCATAGAATTCTCTCCTTTTTCTGCTCAGGTGCATTCTGTCACCTTGAGATGGTTGCTATAAATAAACACTTGTCAATTATTATTTCCAGTATTTTAAGCTGGAAATTGCCTACTACTGCTTTGGAACAAGGTTAAACTTCTGTTTTCCAACGCCATTTTGAATTCTAGACTCTACATAAGGTGTAATACTCATTAAACCCACATTAATTTTTTCATGACTTTTTTCTAAACAGAAATGGCCACATCAATATCCAACAAAGCCTTTATTCAGGTGTTTTTCTTTAATTAGGGCTTTGATGATGATTTTGAAGGCTTTACTTGAGTGGATATTGATGGTGAAGTGGTTGAAGATGATAAACATGCTAGTGACATGGAGGAAAGTGATGATGACTACTAGCGGCTACTATCATCCATGCTTGACTAATTTTATGGAAGCTACTGGTGACCATCAATATACCCGATAGCCTTTCTGAAGGTGGATTATTTTGTCTATTTATAAATGACAAAATAATAACTTTAAATATGAGTCAGGTGAAAGAAAGAGCAGGCAAATGCTAGTGTCTTCTCATATGTAAATATGAGGAAACGCATTACCTTTTTGACAAAATAAAAGCCTTCTTAGTGCTTTTGCTTCTTATTACACTCCCAGAACTCCAAAAGGCATAATAAAATTTAAAGTACGTTGAATTATGTATTTCTTTTTTAATTTGTGTTTTTTTTATTTTGCGTTTCAATTTTTTTTGTTTTCAACGTCAAAACATGCATGCAAGATGTAAAATATTACTCATTCATTCTTTTATTAGTGTACAAAAATTAAAATCTATACGCACAATACATAGCAATTTTAAAACAGTAGGTGTTCATGTTTTTGTACCTTCAAAAAAAATGAAGTGGCGGGAGAACAATTCTAGAAAGAAATTAGTGTGGTAAAGTTTAAGGGAAGGAGAGGTAGAGTGAAAAGAAAATACCTGATAAAAAAATAAAATATATCACTTGTTGGCCCTTTGAATGAAGTTCAGTAGATGGAACTGTTTGGATGCTGTCAGTGGTTATGCTAGTACAAAGTCACAAGTCATCGTGGCCGAGGGTTTGAGCATACTGGTATTGTTCAAACTGCTGATCATGATGGTCTCTCCCAGAAACTGCAACTAAGGCCCACTAAACATAGTTACAGTATAATTATAATAAGTCTTATTTTATACCTACCAATATACTATAGGAAAGTAAATGAAAATTTCATTGATTTTTACCATATATATTAGCATATATTGTCATCCACAGACTGTTTCGCTGTATCACAGCTCATCAGTATGGCTAGACATCCGATTGCCTCATGCTGAGCGAATGATTTGGCATCAGTTGCAGATTTTACCCCTGATCTATCAGCATTTGTTTGAAAGGAAGTTGAACTTTTACAAACTTACTCTTTGAATAAACACACCAGTGACCAACAGGGCTCATATAATTATGAGCTGTTCAGGTATTTAGACCCTATTTTACCAAGTTGTATGTTGAACCTCCTCCCTAGAAAAGGAGACAAAGGTTGCAAAAGTATCAAATTGTCAATTTCAGAAAGTCTAATACATTTTTTTTTTACTTATATATGCAGGAATCTGCCATATCTAATTGTCTAATAAAATAAATTAATTCTGCCTTCCCCATCCACATTTTTTTTTTTTTTTTTTGTCTGAACCAAAAAAAAAAAAAAAAAGGGAAGTCTTGTAATTAATTTGTTTTAAAAACAAGACAGCAGAATTGTGTGGTAATCTTGATGTTCCAGAAGATGTCCTATTTGTTAAAGAACTTTCTTAAGATGGTTTTTGACAAAGGATTAAAAGAAAATTCTTTATTTATAATGTCATGAAAAATACTTTGGTTATTTCACCTTTTTTTTTTTTTTTTTTTCTTTACGGATTTTGTTATTTCTGGTCGCAGCAAGAGGAAACAAACACTTTTTGAATGGTAACTGTTTGATGTGACAAAACTTTGTGAAATTAGTAGAAAGCATTCTGCTTAGGAAAGAGTTATAATTGAAAACCACTTTTTTGTAATTTTTTTCTTTCTTTTTGTGATTTTTTTTTTTTTTTTGTCTGTGTGATAATACTAGTTTTTAAGCTATTTCAGTAATAACTTCACTTTTGGTAGAAAGTGCAATGTCAAGGTTATTGACTAGACATCCGCTTTAGTACATCAGGTTATTAAGTGTACAAAAAACTCTTTAACATTAGGTTTTATGTCATCCATGAAGATAATTTAAAAATAATTAAAAAGACATGAAGAAAGTACACAGTGTCAACATTGATTTGAAATGACCACAAGAAAAGTAAATTTTCTTATTTTGTGTTTGTAATTAACAATTTTAATTATAGCAATTTTAATTATATGTGCATTAGTGTCATGAAGCAAAGGAATTTACTTAGTCAACCATCACATTGGAAGATAGGGATGTGAGGATTATCAGTGCAGAAATAGTTCAAATTCTGTCTGAAGCAGTTGTGTTCATCACATTGGAAGATAGGGATGTGAGGATTATCAGTGCAGAAATAGTTCAAATTCTGTCTGAAGCAGTTGTGTTCACCTCACACCGATGCACATTGGAAGATATGGATGTGAGGATTATCAGTGCAGAAATAGTTCAAATTCTGTCTGAAGCAGTTGTGTTCACCTCACACCAATGCAAATTGGAAAGGCATGAATTCATCTCTGGCTAGGACAGACTGGACTTTGTAATCTTGGTAAAGCAACCAGTCTAGGAGAAGGACTACTGTGAATTCAAACCCTAGTTGAACATGTAATAGCTGGACAGATTACAGCTCAATATACCTTATGACTTTGGGTTGTCCACAGTATAACTATAAACTACATATGGCAGCAAGTCCACTGATTGGGAGGTTGAAGGTTTTGAGGAACATGGAACCACCTCTTAATTGCTATTGTTTCCTGGTCTAACCCTGACTTGGGGTAGTAACACCTGTTAGAATTCCAGCTATGGGCAAAGAGGTGAACTTCCAAACAAAAAGCAAAACACTATGAAAGTATAACAATGCGTATTTATAGTAAGATTACCGACAATACATATTTATAGTAAGATTACCAACAATACGTATTTATAGTAAGATTACCAACATTACATATTTACAGTAAAAAAAAAAAAGAAAAATACTGACAATACAATTTTAAAGCCAAATGACCAGAAATACATAGAAAGTATACAATTGCATTCAAAATATATTTAGTTGAAGCCATAAAATTGTGTTCAAAATATCTCAATTACATTTTGGCATTAACTCATAAGAAGTTGATAAGCCATTAAACAAATCAATAAATCATGACTTTGGGAAGTCTTGTATCCTACAATGGCTGAAAGAACAAGCTTATATAATCATTAATGCCCATTATGTCAAAAAAAGGACTCTGGGAATTAATGATTTATATGTAGAAGTCATTTTAAAAATCCATAACTGGATTTTTTTTCTTCACCAACCTACAAATAATTTTTTTTTTTTTTTTAATCTATAATTAATACTGAATTTTAATTTTAATTTTTATAATTAATATCAGATTTTATTGTAGGCATTAATGGTCTAACTAGTCAAAAACTTGTTTTGCAAACATTTTTAATAATTTATAAGTAACGGTGTACAAATGAAGAGAATTGAAATTGACAACTTTTTTCATTTCAATATCAAACACATATTTCTACCTTTCACTGAAACTATCTTGCATCTCTGTCTGTTCTGTGTTTAACACAGAGGTCAAAATGGAATAGTCCATTATTTGAGGTATTAGCAGGGCATAACCATTGTGCAAACTAATAAAGGGAGAGACAAAAAGTATTATAATAGTAGGGACCTCCACAAAAATGAAATGCCTAAGGTTTAAAATTAATTTTTAAAAATAAAGAATCTTTCTTGAAGCTTTTATTTTAGGTTTAATTTCAAGTTAATAGATTAAATTTAATATCTACAATAAACAAAATACTTTGCTGTATTTCAAAAACTAATTTAAATTGACTGGAAAGAGTTTTTTTTTTTTTTTTTTTACAAAATAGCTGATTAGTGCACTTTTTTTAGTTGTTTTTGCATCATAATGTAATGCTCTCTTTAATAAAAAATCTTCCAAAAATAAAATATACTTTTCTGAAACTGTGTGGGATATCAGCTAATTTAAAGTATTAATCTGATTTGAGGAAAACATTCTCCATAATCTAATGTTTTATTGAATTTTAGAAATATTAACATTAAATTTATTATAGTTGTCACTCTTATTTTCTGATAATGTCATGTATGTGTGCCCATACTTACAAGAATCGGCACATTTATGCACATACAAAAATTCAAAATTCTTTTAAAAATATCAGTGTTTGATGATTTGTATTAAGCTTTTCTGTTTATGATTAGTAAATATAGTTTTCACTTAATTATCTAAAAGGCTGAAATTAATACAGAATTTTAAGATTTAAAACTTAATAAATTTTTCTAATTAAAAAAAAAAAAAAAAAAGAAATTTGTAAAAATTCATTATTCAACAAAAAATTGTTTTTAAGACAATAGTGTCCTTAATATATTTTATTTATAAAAGCAATAAAAAGCTTTTTTATATGATAATATTATAGTTTTATTGTATTATTTATTTTATGATTTAGAGCAGACTTTTGGTAAATGGTATTTCTGTATGACAAAAACAATTTGATGATTTTAATTCTCCAAGAAGTTTTGCTTTTGACTAATGTTAATATCAGGAGGCTGAAATTTTAATTTTTCAAATTTTCATAAAATTAAGTGGCTGTAACAGATGTAAGAAAAAAAAAAATATTTTTATCAAAATTTTCTAAAAATTTCATTAAAATCTATTATTTGGTTTTTGCAAGAATTTCCCAAACTCTGTTTTTAATGCCAAAAAAAAAGATTTTGGCCCACCTGCTGATGCAAGAAATACAAGATTTTTAAGCAAAATTTTGAATATACTAGAAAGGATTAAAAATTTAATAAAATAATGAAAAATACTTTAGTATTTCCTTTTAATAACAAACATTTTGATGGTAAAACTTTGTTTTTATCAAGTTTGGGGCCTTTTTCCAATCTGCTATGCATTTTTTTTTTTTTTTTTTTTTTTTTTTTTTTAAGAACATTTTTTGGAGTACCTATATGATAGAAATGTTTAGAATCTAGGTTAGATGTTAGAGGTAGTTACTGAACTACTTTCATTTATTGTACTTAACTCTTCTGTAGCTATATCAGTAAGTCAGTAGCCTAATGATGAAATGAAAATGAATCATTTTTCAAAATAATCCTTGCTTGTTAATTTACTTAATTCAGTGATAAATATTAATAACTTAGATTGAACACTATACAATGACAATTTCAGATCAAAATTCAGCTAATAGCTATGTATCAGGCTAAAAACCTATTGATCCACCTTCATATGTTAAGATTAGTTGTTTTTGTTTAAATTCTGTGAAGATAATTTTGATTATTGATTGACATTTAATGACTTTGAGTGGCAAGGGAAGAGCTTATTATTTTCTTAGTGGCTCTCGGTGTTTTCTATTTCTGTTCCAATTATTTTTCTTATATATTTTATATATATATATATATATATATATATATATATATATATATAATTGTGTATTTTGGCAGCAATCCCTCTTTTTACTTAAAATAGTTACTCTACCTAAAATATGTCTATGTAGATGATATTTTTATTTTGGCTGAAGACGAAAAAGAAATTGATAAAAAAAAAAAATTCATACATTCAGTTAAAAATAAAAATAAAATCATCCTTGATAATGGTTAAAAGAATAGCTGAAAGCACTTGGACATATAGAACTTTTTTTTTTTTTTTTTTTTTTTTTTTTTTAAGCATTCAACCCCAAGCAAGGTGAGAAGTCACTAGCAAGCAAGGGGTTACAGAGAGTTGGAGTGAGAACAAAGAGGATTGATAGAGGAAAGGATGAAGAGAAGGTTAGGGGATAGATCGGGGCATCTGGAGAAGTCGATTGATGTTACATTTAAATAGTTGGAGATTATAGCTATCAGAAAAACAAGAAATGGGGAGGGAGTTCCACAGGGGAGAAGTGCGAGACATGAATCTATTGGAGTAGAAGAGACAGCTACATTTAACAGTTTCGACAGTGAAAGGGTGAGAGTGAGATGCCAGCCTAGGTGAACGCTTAAATACATGAAGTCTGGAAAGCAGCGAAAGCAGCTCATCGGAGCAGTTACCGTGAAAGTATTTGTAAAAAAGACAGAGGTAGGTGACTACACATCTGTGAGAGAGCGGCTGCAGATGAGATGCCAGATCAGGGCCAATTACATTGCATATCCGGCTTTGGATTTTATCAAGGACCTTGAGACAATTAGAAGGGGCTCCAGACCATATATGGCAGCAATACTCCATGCAAGGCGAATGGTTGATTTGTAGATTTGAAGGATTGACTCCGGCAAGAAAAACTTCCTGGCATGACACAGGGAGCCAACTTTCCTAGTGGTGGACGAAGCTATTGACTCAATGTATTCGTTCCCTCTCAGGTTAGCAGGCAATGTGAAACCGAGCAGTCGCATAGAGGTGCTCTCGTGGAGTTGAGCGTCAGACATTCTAATGGGTGGCAGGGATAGTTCTCTCAGGTGAGTAATAGAGAGCAGTTTTGTACATACTTTGTCCAGAAAAGTAAAAAAAAAATTATAAGAACACAAGAATAATTAAATAAATAAAATTGACTTCAGTACCATGTTAGTCGTTTTTTTTTTTTGTTTTTTTTTGTACAAAAGAGAGATTGCTGCCTAAATATGCAAAATATATATATATATATATATATATATATATATATATATATATATATAAATAAATAAAATGTGTGTGTGTGTTTGAGAGAGTTGATGATTGAGATTTCTTTTATTGTCAATGAAGATATAGGTAGATTGAACTGATCAAAATTTGAAGATTTAATTTTACATTGTTGTGGAACCTATCCTCACAGATGAAGAGAAAACTGGAGACAACAGAAATGTGGTTCTACAGAAGGATACTGAGAATATGGACAGAGCATATAAGCAGCAAAGTAATCTTAAAAATGAAAACAAAAAGGACACTTACACATAGAATCATAGACAAGTGAAATTTGAAACATAATGAGGAAGGAGTACTTGGAGAATGTTACACTCACAGGACTTATCAAAGGGGAAAGGGACAATGGGCCACCTACCTGATGTGCTTGTGCGAATGGATGGTGGGATGTGGGGTGGGAGGCTTGGCAAAGGGACAAACATTGCTAAGAGCTACAAGGGATAGGAAGTTGTGAAGAGCCCTAATTGCACATGTACTGAAGGAAAATAGCACATAAAAAAGAATTACATTATCAAAAAAGGTGATCAAAATACATACATTTTTATAAAATCTGCAGATAGTAATTGTACTTGTGTAAAATGTTCCTTTTCCACACTCTGAAACTCTTTTCTTCAAATTCAATGTTTCAGTCTTTCCTGTTTTCTGTATGTTGCCTGTTCTCTTTGTTTTATCTTTTACCTTCTGTTTGTTAGTCAATTTATGTCCTAATGTCTGCTGTGTTAATAATAAATAAAAACTTAATTATAACATTATCCAGGATTATGATAAATCGTTTTCTCTGTTTAAAATAGAGAAAGACCAATGTACAATAAATATCAATTTGACTTAAATTGAAAATAATGTCATTTTTTTTTTTACTTTGCAGATGACAACAATTGGAACCCTATAGAATGGGACAGAGCTGCTGAAGAACTAACCTGGGAAAGGGTAAGAACTATTTTGGAAAAAAACCCCCCAAAAGAGCCTTATAGAAGTTAGACTAATGTCTTTGTTTTTATTCTTCATTGCCAATCCATGCTGTTTATTGATGACCACAGAATAATGGGTAAAGTGGTTGCGATGAAAAACTAAAATTATGATGAAAAAAAAACGCTAGTCAAATCTTAATGATTGGACATGATTGAATGAAAATTCATTATTATTATCTACCAAGTAGGTTGTGTTTATAATTATCTTGCTTGTTTAATAATGACATAACTTGATTAAAAGTTAGACATTTGGTGATTGACTCTTCAATTGGTTACAGAAGATGAACCTTGTATGGATTTATTTGTTTATTCATTTTGAAAAGAAATTTTTTTTCCTTAAACAAATGCAAGAATTGTTTATTGAAATATAGTTTAATTACTCTAGTTTTCTTGTTGGTACCAGTCTTGGTTGGAATGACTGCAAAAAGATCCCCATCCCCAGATTTATAGACAAAACAGATAGATGCATGCTGGGATTTCTTCCTAGCCAATTAGATAGGCCACTTCTTGGTCTCATCCAACTTAGTTTCACTCTTTCTTGGTTTGAAGTCAGAATACTACAATTGCTTGTCTGTATCACCTATTGTGTGTTAACATCATTCTGAGTCTGCAAACATTTTGCCATATTACTGTTGCTTGCCTTACATATATTGTATACTTGCTCAAGGTTATTTTTGGCCCTGTTCTTTTCCTTCTCTTGTTATTGTTTATTGCAAACTTTGTCAGTTCTGTTTGTTGGGTAGTTCTGCAACTTACATTTCTACACGTCTAAAATATTTTCTATAACACAGATTGTGGGAGGTATTTTTCAGTTTTTTTTGACAGCATCAATTACTGTTGTAGAAAATAAGTATAAAGCAGCAACTGCACTGAGAATTAATGGTAACTTTTGTGCATAAAACAATGTTGCAGTTTCTACAATAACCAGTTGGTTGAAAGTCTTGTTTAGAGGGTCATAAATTACAATTATTGTTGAAATTTTATAGAATTACCAGAATTTAACTTTGTTCATTGAAAGCAGTTTTATCCAATATTTTTATCACTTATTTCTTTTTCTTTTTAAAAGAAAAAAATTTCTTTTCTTAATTTTTTCTTTTCTTTTACTCTTTCTTTTCTTCTGTTTGTTCAATGGTTAGAATGCTTAGTTTTACAAGAATCAACAAAATGATGAATCTGACTTATAAATATGCAACTTACTCAGAATAGAGGATGTGAGGTGATTTGGTAGTAGCTCTGAGTTCTCCATAAAACATGCTTTCTTATTTTATTTTCTCCATTCTTGTTTGCTGTGAGGTGGATAGCATCCCAACCACCTGCTCTCCAGTAATATTTGAGGATCATCAGCTGTATTAGAGAATACCATTGTCAATAACATCCACCCATATACTACACTCACATAACTCTATCAGCAGACCAAGCATAGACATTAGAGATTGTGAGGAACTACTAATCAGTAAAGAATAAACTTGGGATTCCATAATTATGAAAATTTCAAGACCAGTTCAATATAGAAGTTAGGAGGAGTTAATCTAAAGAACACACTGACCATACTGTCCATGGCAGGGTTTTTCAAACTGTGCATCCCAACACTTGAGTGGGTCGTGAGATAAATAGGTCGCAACAAAAAAGAAAGAAAAAATATGCAAGTGAGAGCAAAAGCAAAAAGCAGAATATAAACAACTTTAAATGTTGCACAGCACTCATAAATCATTACTAGTTTTTCACTGAGGTAAGCTTGTATTATATTTAATTTTTTTAAAATGTAATTATATACTAGCTTAAAAGCCATACAATCGGGTGACTTTTAAGATAGCTCTTGTGGAGGGTCCTTAATTGTGCCTCCCTCATACTAGGGAGGGAGGAGTAGATGCGATAGGCAACAATAAACTACAGAAGAACTCAGAATTGATTGCTGAATATATGTATTGCATTAATATTTAAGCTTACCTTTTAAAAGTTCAATGATAATTCTTCTGACAACACTTAATTTAAAGGCAGTTTGATGTATGTAGGTCCTTACTTTCCATAAAAACAATTATTTTTATTTTATGGGTGACTTTTGCTGGATTTCACAGTTAATTTCAGTTATTCCCAAATTTATTTCCAAGTTATGAGAATTATTGTACAAAATATTTGTTGCAAAAATCATGTAAAAAAAAAAAAAATTGCCGAAAACAATTGTAGTAATGAAAACTTGGGAATCCAAAATTTCAGGATTGCAGGTCTGGATCCAGCCCAGAATATTTTTACTTTGCTCATGGAGTCGGGCCTGATTTCAAAATGGTATATGTTGTGCTACAGCTTCTAGGAGTAAAGTTAAAAAGTCTGACACAGTGACATTCGCATTAATTATATAGATATAGTCTGTTCTCATTGAGTATATGTATCTTGTTCATCAAACTTCTTGTGAACCGAGTGACGGAATTTCATTTAAGTTTGTTGATCTAAAGGTAATAACTTTATATTCATACAAATGGATAATACAAAGATACATGCAATTTCAGTATGTGTTGATGATAAGAAATATACATAAAAATTGTTGATACTAAATAAATGAAACTAGTGAACAGTTTGTCTTTGATTTATTACACATAGTTATAATGGGTCACAGTGCAAAATGTGATTCTTGCTGTGGCTTGCAGCAAAAAAAGTTTGAAAAACGTTAGTCTATGGGATGGCCATCTATACCCCTCTCAAACCAAGATTTGACAAACTTCCAGAATTTAATAGAGACACAAAGAAGGTTGGGCAGACATGGTCAGAATGTAATAAAAGTAAGAGTTAATCTGAATCAACTATATACAATGGATATGAATATATTCCTTTAAGAAGCTGTAAAGACACTAATCTTATTTTATAGATTGCATTTAGCATTACATTATATGATGGACTCTCCTGTTGAGTTCGATGCATGAGTTTCTGATGACTACAACCTAATTATCTGCATGCCTACGATGGGCATGACTTTTGAGACTGGCTCGAGAATAGCACAAAAGACCACAAACAGTACAGGAGAATGTATTGTATCCAAGTGCAGCAGGAACACTGTTAGATGTCTTATTTTGCTTTCATGTTTCATGTAGTCGAATGATACTTACTTCTTGATGATGCATTATTCCTGAATGGCAGCTGAAATGATACTCTGATCTCTTCATAGCTACCTCTTCAAAGTTATTGAATGGAATGTTGACACAAGAAAGGTTGCTCTTCAGTTTATGTTTATACCTGAGCCAAGGTCGACCAACATTTCTATGACTACTATGGAGTTCACTGTAGGAAAGAACTTTTGGTATGCGATCATCACTCATCTTTGCCACATGGTCAGGCCAACGTATTTGTGATTACATTATGAAGATCTCGATGGTACCAATCTTGCATTTCTCAAAAAGGTCTGCATTTGACACTCAATCTTCAAATGTTAGACCACAGATTGTACAGTCAGCCTTTATGGAAGACATCTAATCAATTATTGTGCCATCTATAAGGTGTCCAAGTTTCAGAGCCATGCAAAAGAGTTGACAAAATGACAGCTTAGATTTTAGTGCAAAGCTTTATTCCCCTTTCATCTCACAACTTATGATGCAGCAAACCAAAGGAAGCATTGTCTTTTGCAATGTGATTAGCAATCTCATCATCAAGTAATGCAGTTGAATTTACCATGTTCCTGAGGTATTTGAAAGATTCCACATACTTGAGATTCTTTCCATCAATTTGTAAAGGGACCTCAAAAAACTTATATATATATATATATATATATATATAATCATTTATTCAAAAATTATAACATAAAAATATAAAATCACTACAAAAATAGCCATTTTGTTTCAACACTTCTGGTGTTCAACACCTTCACTTAAGACACCAGAAGTGTTGAAACAAAATGGCTATTTTTGTAGTGATTTTATATTTTTATGTTATAATTTTTGAATAAATGATTATATTTGCTCTATTCTGTATTGAGTACTCTTTTAAGAATAGTATTTGTTGGATATTGAATTTATTCCATATACACCAATCCTATACTTGGGTGTGTGTGTGTGTATATATATATATATATATATATATATATATATAAGTATATGATTGGTGTATACAGAATAAAATCCAATAACCAACAATTACTATTCTTATATACTTGTATTTTGATTGGTCATTTCAGCTCATATGACAGCATTTCCCCTTACGAGGGGTTGTTAATTAATTTGAACCTTTTAAAACCTTTATTCTTATTCTACAATCTACATTCAACATCATCACTTGATAAGACACCAGAGGTGTTGAAACAAAATGGCTATTTTTGTAGTGATTTTATAACATGTTTATTTTATAATTTTTAAATAAGTAATTATATATATATAAAAATTCCTCTTGATTTACTTTTTTATATGAAATGAGTTCTTGTTTGCTTATTTTGTAAATTTATTTTACTCTTTTTCAGTTACTTGGTCTGGATGGATCATTGGTTTTTTTGGTAAGTTTATTTATGTTTTTTTCAAATACACATAAACTGGAAATCTGATCTCCAAGGATTGCTACAGTCATGTCAATTCTAATATATTTCTCTATTTGATTCATTTGCTAAAACTTTTTCTTTTATTGCTAAAAGTGCTTTATATATTCTGGGTTAATTCCTGAAGATAGCTAATAGCAAACTTTTCCATTTTGCTTAATGTGTTCAAGATTTATTAGCATACATTAACCTTTACATTATAGGTGACTATTTTCACCAAACAAAATGTTAGTCCTGCCAATGTAAGTTGAATTTCAATTTCTTGGTTGTGCAGTCATATCCTTCTATGGCCACACCTAAAACAATCTTGACTGAAATTAAGAGCCAGGCTATTGCAATTTCAGATATATAGAACTAATATATAAAATGTGGGGGATTCCATATGCAGTAAAAGCAGAAGTAATATTTATAAATGATGCTAATGTTAGATATACATGTTGGCCAAACAGCTTTGGTTTCTTTTTATCTGTCATGGAATATTTGATATATATGAAATTTATTTATTATCTAAATTATTTTGCATTTATCTAAACCTACATCTAGATTTTCTATATAATCTGGAGCACATTTGCATAAACTACTTTGCAAAAATTTATAACATAATTTTTATTGCTTTGCTATTGTGAGATTTAAAGAGAAGCCTATTGTAATATTGACACAGAGGATTCTTGTGATATTTTATTTTTTAAACTCTTTTGTTCGTGTAAATTCATAGCATCATCATTCAGTCATCAAAACATTTTCCATAACTTTCTATGACTTTATACCACATTTCTGTGTGTCTTCTTGAAATAATGGTTATAGTTGTTCAGTGAATTAAGGAATTATTTTGAGAACTTGATCTGTTGACTAGAGCAGAAGTGTTGTATGGCGGAAAATGATAGTTCGAAGGAAACATTTGTGGAAAATCCACTGCATGTGGAAGAACTTTCCATGCTATATCAATCATTTGTGATTCATTTGTACAATGAGGGCAGGCATTGTCATATGATCAAATAATTGACTGACATCCATGCTGGGAAAAAAAATACAAATGTCATTTCTCTTTCAAGATACTATTCACATATGTTAAGTAATTTGACTTTAATTTTTTTGTTACTTCATTTTTTTATTTTCTTTAAAATTTTTTGTTTATTGTATCTTCATTCCAATTACCATATTTGACAGCATATAATTTCAGCAGGGTAAATCAAGAAAAAATGAGTAATTAGTAAAATTATTAGTAAATGGTACAGCCTAGGCTATATTTATGAGGTATTATTTTGTTTAAAGAAGTTATGATTGTAATTAAATGAAAAATAATAGAAAAAAGAACATGAGCATATAAAAACTTTATTATATCTTTTATATGTTCTGTAAAACCTGCATCTTGTAAATGTCTTGGTGGAATAATTAGGATATAAAAAATTCTGATTGTATTTATACCAATGCAACCAGAAGTTAATACAAGAAATATGTTAATGAAACAAATATATTTTACAAATATAATTTGAATTTATTGCATATAATTTTAGTGAAACAAAGTACATGAAACATGATGACACTTTTAATCTGCATAATAGCCTTTTAAATAATGACAATAGATATATGAAATCTAAGCTAATTTCGTCCGACTACCACAAATTTTAAACCTACATACGGCATATAAGATGCAGGGGAATTTTAAAAGATATTTTCAGTAAAAAAAAAAGTGTGCCTTGTATGCTGTCAAATATAGTAATCATTTTCCAAATTATTGACCTCTTCCAGAACTTTTTTTAATCTTAAGCTCAGAATCATTTCTTTTAAACTTTGCAATCCATTCTCAGTACTTGTGTTTACTCAGTCATTAAAATAACTTTTAGTGTTCCATTACCTACAATTCTCTCCACATTGAATATAAAGGATAACCAGTGACAGCTCTACATTTTATATTTGGCCCTGATTTTCAATAAAATATTCATTTTTCTTTCTTTTTTTTTTTTTTTTTTAAATTCAACCTGTTCATGTATTGACAACAAAATACTGAGTAAACTAGAATGACACTTCTAAAATTTTTTATGACATTGTACAAAAAATGGTGCTTGGAACATTTTTTTAATCAATAATTATGAATTGTTAGGTTGATACAAAAAAAAAAAATGATAATCTTGTTTTTTAGCATATTCATTTTTTTCTTTCTTTAGGAGCATGTTTTCTGGGTTGTCTCCCTTAACACACTCTTTATTCTCGTGTTTGGTAAGTACACTTAACCAGTATTGAAATAGAGGGTAAATCATTTTCAATGTTGCAAGTCCTTTCATTTACTTTTTAAAGATATTAAAATAAATTACATCATGAAACTAGCATTTGTGTATCTTAGAATTTTTGCCTACTGTGATAAATTAACTTTGTTTTTCTTTCTAAATTAACAGAAAATAGCTTAGTAGGATTAATTAAATAAAGCAGAAAGGCTAATTTGAAACATGGAAAGCTATTTTTGAAGAAATATGTCCAACAATTTGTTGTATACTAAGTGGATTTAAAACATTTTATTTATAAGTTTCTAAAAATGTCTTAGGATAAAGGTTACATTTTTTTTTCTTCTCTTATTTGAAATATAAAATCTGTCGAAAACATTCAGCCATTTATTATTACCCCCCAAAAAAAAAAACCCCTACCCCATGGTACATTAGTCAGCTTCAAAGTATTTCCCTTGTCAACTCCCTTACATATCTCGGCATTCCTTGCCCCGTTTTGAAAATGGTATGCAAAATATTAAATTTTAATTTCAATGACTATTTTAGATTTGGGAAGAGTGACATGCCTGAGTCACTCTGTTTTGCTAAAAGAAGAAAAATGATAATAATAAAAAACCCTGCACAAGGAATGGGCAAATACATTAAATACACATTACACAAGCTCACTCACTGGTGTTTCACTATTGACTGAGTAACCCCGTTGAAGAGTGTCTGTTCATGAATGTGCAGTAAAATATATTCTCTGATTGGTTGGAAAATTACATCTCAGCTGCACAACTTATTGTTAAGATATTTAAAATGGCTGGACACTTTCCAGACGGATCTCTGTATTTTTTTTATGTTGGTGATGAACATTTAACATATGTGTTTCTAAAGAGATATAATTTCTGTATTTTTACTGCACTTAATTTTCTGGCAAAAATGGATAAACGTGCTTGGTATAAGACATAGTATCAAAAGGATAGTTTTTCTCCATGACACTGCTTTTTAACTACTTTCACTCTTTGGCAATGTTTATTGTTTTAAAAAGCAATGATTAAAATTGTAATAAAACCTAAACATGTGATGAAAGTGAATTTATACATTTTTTCTTGTTCTTGAAAATTTACAACAAAAATATTAAACATTATTGGATTGTTTATTTACAAGAATAATTTTATATTTACAACAGTCTAAAAGCTAATATAATTAGAACTAATGCTATGCATTATTTATCATTTACTAATGTATAAATTCACTTTCATATGTTTAGGTTTATTATATAATTCTAATCATTGCTTTTTAAAAACATAAGCCTTGCTGAAGAGCGAAAGTAGTTAAAAAGAAAAAAGTTGTCATGTGAAAAATCGTCTTTTTGACATTCTGCCTTATTGAGGGCATGTTTATCCATGTTTGCCAATTTTCTTTCCTTTTTATCTAGTCAAATTTTAACTAATTGTTTTGTTTCAGTGATACATTCTTCTTTGTTGCAATAAAAAACAAAAAACATTGTAACTGAAAATGTACCATTTTTTTTTTTCTTTTTATAAATGTTGAATAGCATTCAGTTGATCTACCAATCAGTTGATTGCTGTTTAATGTTTAATACTAACAGTATTAAATTACAAATTCTTTTGATTCAGTTGATCATATTCTCTTATATTTATGACTTTGTGAATGAAGTGCAAATATAAATTGTCTCTTAAATTTAGAAATTAATTGTATTTTCAGCTTTTTGTCCTTATCACATTGGCCATTTCACACTGGTTGGACTTAAGATTGATGATTTGGTGAGTTTTTCAAGATTTTCTGTTTTCTATGAAATAAAATCAATCTTAATGGTTGTAGCTGTCAGTATTTCAAGTGGGGAATGGTGAGGTTTGATTATACTAATATCCTGATCATTCTGTGTCTTTGTATTTTTGTTATATATGATTTCTTTGACTCTGTCACATGGAATGGATTTTGCCTCATCTATTCTATTTGCTTTAACATATTATGCTGAAAAATAACATTCTGATCTGTTTGCTTATAAAATCTATTATAAATAGATTTGTTAGTTGCTGTAATGAAAATTACTTTTACGTTCTGATTAAAAGCATAAATTAAGACATGTCTACCATATTTTGTTTGAAACACAATTAAATTTATCTTCTGCCAACCAGCTCTGATAGCAGGTTGATTCATTTAGCTGAACATTTAGATGATATTTTTGGATGACAATAACCTTTCCTTTTTTTCTTTTTCTTCTTTCTGTTTCTTTTTCTTCTTTCTGTTTCTCAAATGCAGTATTCTTTCAGGACATAGATGATTATGGCTCTTCATATTATTTATTATCCAAGAATTACCATGATTTCTTGGGTGGGGTAAAGGATGTTTGGGTGGTGCAATGTACAGTGGCTCCAGATGTGACATTGGAGAGCTGAGTTTAGATTCTAGTAGATTTTGTTACATTCACTTATGTGTAAATAACCTTGGGAAAGATACAAATCCATCTCTTCTTCCCGCAACTATGTGTTAAATAGTAGGACTTGTTTCTTGTTATTCCTCAAAAATTAATACAGTATTCACTCTCTCATAATAATGCTTGATGCTACATGAAAGAGGTGGCATTGTTCAGAAAAATCATTTAATTTACAAATATTGGGTTACCACCAAAATTTCTGTTTTTGTTGTATATGGCATTATTGAAAAAGTCAATTATGAACTCTTCCAGAGAACCCAATGATTCCTTTAAACCAATTTCAAGGAGTAATTGATGAAAAATATCTGGAATTAGTTAAAAGAAAGATAACAATCCACTAATATATAATATTAGTATATCCATTAGTATACTACTAGACTGCTTGTTTCTTTGGTAGCACACAAAAATTGTTGTAGCTTGGCTGGGAATCTTTCATTCCTTCACCATATTCACCAAATTGTATAATTAAATTTATGCCTCTCTTTTAAAGAATTGTCTTAGGAAAAAAAATCAGCTCTTTGGAAGACTGTAAAAGGCTGTTAGAGCAGTTCTTTAGTAAGAAGCAATGGGAGGATGGAATCATAAAGTTGCCTGAAAGAAAATAGTGGAACAAAATAATAATTATTCAGTACTAGAAATTAATATTTATACTATTTATATTAGGACTATTCTCCTTATCTTTGTTGTTTTTACTACAATGTTTTGGCAGTTGTGCCCTTGGGCACAATAGATATACACCTGATGATGGCCAGAGGGCACATCTGAAAAGCTGTGATAAAAGATGAGGACAATAGTTCGATGGAAAATAAACTTATACTTAGCATCAAGTGGTTGAAGTTTCTGGGGCACATAATGAAGAAAGAGGGCTTAGAAAATCTAATAAACACAGGACAGATTGAAGGCAAATGGGACAATTGAGTAAATGGATAGCAGAACAGGGTTTAGGATAAATTTATTAAGAGTTAAAAAGTACAGGAAATTGTAGAGAGCCATGATTGCCTAAGTTCTGAAGGGACATGGCACGTGAAGAGGAAGAAATAACTCATTCCAGAAATTCAGATAAAAATTGATATTTGTCTCTTATTTTTACTTGATTAGACAAAAATAATTTTTTGGCTAATTTAGTGCGTTTTAAAAATTTAAAAACTGAAATGTGCCATTATTATTAACAGAACTTATTAATGATTTCTACAAGACTGGCTTTTTTTTAAAAAGTTTAACAAAAACATTACTCTAAAATGATGATTGCTCTTTACTCTTTTTTAATCATTTAACCCCAAGCAAGTTGATAATACCACTAGGACACAAGGGATTACTTGGAGTGGATGACAATAAGAAGACTTTAATGAGGAGAAAGAACAATAAAAGAACACAATTCTTTATGGCAGCAATATTCATTGCATGGACAAATGGTAGATTTATGAATATGCAAGATGGTGAGTCCAATAAATGGCTCTTCTGGAGGTTAGCAACAGCTATACTGATGGCAGGCAAAAAAGGTTCTTTCTGGCAAATAAATGAAAGTGGTTTTGTTTTACAAGCCATTCCTTGCCCCAGCTAACCATTGATTGGAGATCCTTTTCAAGAGCAGTTGCCAGTTTTGTTGGGCCTGTCAGACTTGCTACTAAGACAGGAGTAAATAGTTGCCATCTGCAGAAATACCTATGCAAAACTTTTCTATATCTTATTCTCTGTCAATCAACAATTTTAATCTTTTTTTTTTTTTTTTTTATTTAAAGGATTAAGTATTTGACTCTAAATTTCTTGACTTCTCGTTCATTGATTTGGTATTATTTGATCTTGCCTCATTCTTTTTGTTCTTATATTTCCAGTTTTGTTTGTAAAAATTTTACTTCTTTTTCACCGATATCGACTTGTGATGCATCTTGACATGTCATCATTAATGGTTCCTAGAATTCTTTTGAGAATGTTAAACTTAGTGTCAAGGTGTATATTTTGTTTCTTAATTACTGTTTTCTTTAGTCAAACACCTAATCTTTTGTCACAGTCTATGTCACTTGGTGTCACAGTCTGTGTATGTGTGTCTCAGTCTCTCTGCATGTCACTGGATGTGTTATTGTGTATCAAAAGTAACGACCATGATAAAATACTATACATTAATATTAAAATGTTATCCACTACCTTTTTGTTGCTGAATTTCTGCAGATTAAATTTGTCCAATTTTGCTAGTTATTTATTCTTAGCTACAGAATGAGGCTGGAAGATAATAGATTTTCTTTTGATTGCTATAGTTTCTGCATTCACTACAATGTCTTGGTTTGAATGCGATAGTAGTCATTGGAGTAAATGAAATAAGAAGCTATGGTGGTTCCCATCATCAGCAGGGATAAGTACCACTTCAATGAGGAATCATTGTGTTTAGCTATGGTACTAAATATATAATCTTTTGTAAGAATTTTTCAGTGAAGCTTGTATCAGTTAATGTTTTTGGCATTAAAACAATCAAGTAGTTTGTTAAAAATGATTATTGATGTAAAGTTTCATATTTCAATTAGTTTATAATCTAAATTTTAGATGTAAGCTGTAAAGAAATCTATAATTTTTTTTTTTTAATCATATCATCCCAAGCAAGACAATAAAGCCACTAAGATACAAGGGTTACATTGATAAACAATGCATATATTCTAAATGTAAGAATGCTAAATCATATGCAGAGAAGCAGCTTCAATCACTGTGATGTATATGCTTGCTACCTAGTATACAAATATTGTAAGAATAACACATTATCATAAAATAAGTTATCAGTTGTCTGTGGCAGCAGACAAGTTAAAGGTGTATGTCTGTTTATTTGGATGTGAGCTTTAGTACTTGGCTTTGTGCTAAATGAAGAAGTATTATTTTGCTAGATGTAGCCATGAATGGTTTTCATATTTGAATGTTTTGATTAATCCTTATTCTCAAGTTAATTGAATTAGCTCACAGCAAGTTGTATGACAATAAAATATCCATAGAAATTCCCTTATCACATTGTTAAGTATTTGAGTTTAACAAATTTAACAAAATATTGCAATATCATAAATATGAATGCTGGTCATTATTTTAAGAAGTGGGTACAAATGAAAAGATTTGAAATTGATAACTTTTCCATTTCACTAAAACAGATGTTCTATCTTTCCTTTCATTTTTTTCACTGAAACCAAGTGGCATCTCTCGTATGTCTTTCCACATGATCAAAATGGAATAGTTCATTATTTATGAAGTATTGGCAGGAGACATTAAACACTTGTATCTTCCCTTCTTTTTTTTTACTGAAACCAAGTAGCATTTCTGATATGTCTTTATTGTTTTTCCACATGATCAAAACAGAATTGTCCATTATTTATGAGGTATTGGCAGGATGTAATGGTCGTGCTAAGGAAGAGATGAGCAGAATTATAAGTGCAATATACAAGCTGCAACATAAACCTGAAAAATATTTCAGCTGCAGTGCCATGATCAAAGCAACTAAAATGAGACCATTAATATTTGGGATAACCATCATCAAAGCTTTCAATGCTGGCTATTTAACCATAACCTCACCAAATTCTTTCTAGAATTGTTCCCCTTGCATTATTTATTTTGTTTTTGTTTTTGAGGGTGCAAAAAACATGGGCACCAACTGTTTTAGAAAGGTTATAATTTTCTTTGTATTGTGTGTATAGATTTTATTCTTTGTATACTAGTAAAAGAATAAATGAGTAATATTTTGATGTAAAGCATTATGTAATACATTACATTTTGCATACCTGTTTTGACATTGAAAACAAAAAAAAAAAATTGAAGCACAAAATAAAAAACAAAAAGATTAACAATTTAACATACAGGGTGTTTCAAAAAATTTGATATCCTTTGAGATGTAAATATCACAGAAAGTACATGATTAAGGCAAATGAAATTAAAAAGTATTAATGTTGAAGATCATATGATTTATTCTTCCAAAACTGAATGAGAAATTCAAAAGCATGTGGATTATGTGAACGATTTCACAAATGTTCAATATGCGCACCGCCTGAGACACGGCATACGTCAAGTCGGTAATCCAGCTCCTGCCAAACACGCTGAAGCATATCTTGGGTAACAGTCTCCAGTGCTGTATTGATTCTCTGCTTGAGTTCTTCTATGTTTGCAGGAAGAGGGGGAACATACACCATTCCCTTCACGTAGCCCCAGAGGAAAAAGTCACAAGGGGTTAAATCAGGTGAACGGGGCGGCCATTTCAGCAACACGCTGTCTTTAACACCAGCATGCCCGATCCATAAAGACATAAAAACATAAAACAAACATTAAACATAAAGATGCTATTAAAATTTGAAGGAGATCTAACAAAGTTATTAGATTGCGAAATGATATCAAATTCTTTGAAACACCATGTACTTTAACTTTTATTACTGCTTGTGGAATTCTGGGGTGCAATAAGAAGCAAAAGAAAGCTTTCATTTTGTCAAAGGTTTCCATTTCAAATTTGCACCTGTTTACATACAAGTAGACACCAGCATTTGTTTTCTCTTTCTTTCACCTGATTAGCATATTTATTTGTCTTGTTGTTTATAAGTAGACAAAATAAATCACCTTCAGAAAGGCTATCAGGTACATCCATGGGACCAGTAGCTGCCATAAAATTAGTCAGCTATGGATCATACTAGCTCCTTGACACCTAGTGACCATCATAGCTTTCCACCCTGTCACTAGTGTTGTTATCATTTCTATCTCTGACCACTTCATTGTCAATATCCACTTGAGTAAAGCCTTCAAAATCATCATTGGAGTCCCAATCAAAGAATAACTCCTGAATAAAAGCTTTGTTGGATGTTGATGCAACCATTTTTGTTTACAAAATATCGCAACAAAATTAACATTAATCTAGCTTAAAATATGGGAAATAACAGTTGACAAGTGTTAATTTATATCAACCGACTCAAGGCAACAGAATGTGCCTAGAGCTGCAAAAGGAGAAAAATTCTGCAGCAACAATTTTCGCCTCCAGCTCGATAAAGGTTAAGTTAAAAGTTTAGCCAGTATAATCAAACCATATAATAATTATCAATTTGTATTTATTTATATATTTCCTGTCTCGTCTGTAGTGGGAAGGGAAGCAAATCAACTTAAGTGAGTACATTTATGAGTGATTACTTCCCTTAGTTGTTTTAATCTATAGAAATAAAATATTCATCTGCATTTAGACAAAAATTAGCTTGAGTACAAAATGAACCATTTAATTAATCTGTTCTTTCACTCCTACATTTCTTAGATTACAGTCTCATTTGTTCAAGCCTTTCATGTGGTGCACTCAGTTACCTTTGTCTATTAAGTGATTGTCTTGCTTCGACTTGGTCTTGAAATATGCTTTGCTGTTGTCGTTGTGTTGCTAATCTTTTCTGAGAGATATTTCCATTTCACTGTTATATTAAACACAAAACTTTTAATGTGAAAAAATGTTGAGCAAAATGCATTTCATATAATACCAGGAGTAATTAATGAATTGTAGATACCATTGAACATCTAAAAAATATAAAAGGAACATATTTATTAAACCATTCATTGGCCTCTATTTTAGTTGTAAATTCTTTATCTCTGCTTTATTGAAACTCAATAAATGGCTTCAAGCCTTACTTCATTGCATATCACTATTAAAAATTTCTAACAATTGCCATCATTTTGACAGCCTGGGTATACAAGTAATAATAATAATAGCTACAATATTTCCCATATGCTAAGACACTACAAGTGGTAATATGCACCCTATAGTTACCAAGGTATTTTTTTTTTTTTTTTAAATATTTGAGGATTTAATAGCTTGCCATACTAGCAAGTCTAAATCACTGACTCTTTGGTGTCATTTTTTTCTTTCTGTCACAACAAATTATTATCACATTTTAGACCTATTATTAAATATTTGTGGTTATTATTAATTAGATTGGGTGGTGATCTTATACTGCCTCACAGCTGCCCAGTTGCCATGTTGTTTAACAAACTATTACTTGTAACTCGTTGGGCACGTGCCCAAGTGGTTAGAATGTTTGCATTCTGACCATGAGACCCTGGTTCGAATCTCACCATGGTCAATTTGTCAGGAAGGAAAGTTCCTGATGTTATTGACCCAAGCCTTGTGAGTGAAATTGGGTAGATGGAACCCTTGGGGGCCATTGATAGTTGTGCTAGCACAGTCACAAGTCATCGTGGCTGAGGACTTGAGCATACTGGCCTTGTTCAAATTGTTGATCACGCTAGATAACACGCTCTTTTCCCAGAAACTGTAACTAAGTTCTGCTCAGCATAGTTGCAGTATAAACCACAGGTGGGCTCTGTGGATGTTGAATAAACACAAATGCACCTGAGCAAGCATCTGCAATAGGGATTATCCTTGAATACCAGTGGCCAGCTATACATATACTTGTAACTTGAACAGCATATGCCTGTCTACTCTGCTTTGATGTCATTCTGTTTTTAGTGAAATGGTATCCTTTGCTAAATGACTGTGCCTACAAGATTGGTGATGTTGTCTGCTTCGATAACATTAGTTGGCTTGTCTGCCTGCAGATGGCATTGGTGAGGCACCATAAACAAACATAGCAGATAGTAGGTACTGGGAATTGACAGTACATTTAGAATTAATGGTAGGTCTATTAAGCTGACTGGTTTGTTTCAATAGTAATCAACTTTCTTGGTGTAGGACCATCCAAGAGAGGACTGAGACTTTTGAGTCCAACCATCAGCAAGAAGAGGATCTGCAATGTAGTGTCAGGAGGGCCCGACTCGCCCAGCCACATCCACCACCCACACTCCTCTGTGACTTCTGCTCATGAATCTTCAGATGTAGGCTTGGCCTTCCACCACCAGAGGGAAATAGCGAATAAGTAGAGATGATGATGATGATGATCTTAATGCTTGATAATACACAAACTGCAGTAATAAGGCTGTTATTCTCTGTGTACATATTAAACATAACTCAGCCTGTATTACATGACTGAAGTTGGGGTTTGTGAAGTTATTGTAATCTTAGATGAACAAGAGACTTGTAATGAGTTGGTCGGTCAACTTGAAACCCCCAAAGCGAGTGGAGGTGGGCAGGCGCGGGAACTCTGATTGGTAGCTGGCTTGTTGGTGTTTTGCATAGGTGAGTTACCAAGCTCTATGTAAAGGGCTGGAATGAGAAGGAGGTCAGTTTTTCAGACTCAGAAGTGGAGACTGTGTCCGTCGCTATGACAGCAGGAGAGAAAGAGACGAAATCATTTATTTTTTCGTGACACATTCCAACACAAGACTTACAGTACCAGTAGGAAGCTGCCTATTGGTTATCATTAATACTTGAAAAAAAAAAATGTATATTGTATGATACTAATGTAATATATGGTATTTATTACATTTGTCTGGGGTTTGTGGTCTTGTGAATGAGGTTCATGGGTGATGGCAAACTCCTCTCTACAACTTGACCTTTCAGTGCTAAGATGATTTTTGAGGGCATTTTTCAAGGAAGAAAAATGCACTTTAGCATATAGGAAATATGGTATATCTTTTAGTAACTATATTTTAATAGCTTAATAAGTGTAGGGTTGAATAGATTTTATACCACAAGGCTTATTTGATTCTACAAATACTGCTGAGATAAACTTTCTCCATTTTCCCATTACTTACAACTTGTCTTCATCATTGTCTAGTTTACACACCTTGGCCTTTCAAACAAGAGTAGAGGTTTATCATTTGTTTCTTGTTTAGGATTGGGTTTCTACTTCCTTCTAAAGTTTACTTCAACTCTATACTTCTAACATCTCTGCCTAAACTCTGAAATTTTATTTACTATTTATTTATTTATTTTTTTTTCAATAGGAGTAGATATAATCACCTATCATTTAGTTCACATTTCTCTCTGGTCTTTTGAACAGGAGTAGGGGTTTATCCATTGTTCCCTGTTTAGGATTGGGTTTTCAGTTCTTTCTAAAGTCTTCTCATTCTCTTTCACTCTCAGTAGCCCCTTGCATCTTAGTGGCATTATTGCTTTGCTTGGAGCAATTTGATAAAAGTTGTTAATGGCTGTTTAACATTGAATCGAACCATTTTTAAAAAGAGATCAACTTTAAAGTTTTCTTGTATTCATAACATAAGGATTCCAAAATTTTTTGCCAATATCAATTTTTTTTTTTTAATGTGTATCTGTGTTAAATTTTTATGTAAAAGTACATCATTTTTTCTTTTTAAATTTCCTCTAATAGAAGTGTGGGGAAATGATTGCTGTCCAAGATAAGTTTCATAATTGAAATAATTTCAGCAAAAGAAAATATAGAATAATATTTTTTAAGATTAATTTTGATAACAACAAATACAAATGTCCAGGTTTATGAATTAAAAAAAAAACAATATATTAATTTGAAACATTTTTCAAGGTCTGCACATCTCTAAAAAAAATTCTTATAACATCATTGTTATGTTTTGGTAAGCATTTAAATGTTTTAAACCAACTTTTAATTTTTGCTTCTGAAATTTTTAGATTTGACCCGATAACTACAGTTTTATCTAAGATAAACATACAGTTCAAATCTGTTGCTAGGGGCATATTTGCAAGTGTTTATTGGTTGTATATTGTAATAATTTACTATTAATATAATTGATCAATTTTTAATGTTTGTATCTATTGGTCTATTGTGCCATGCTGATCTAATTGCTGTTGCTGCCTCTCTATTCGTTGAATGTTTGTATTGTATTTATTTTAGGTGACTACAGTTGTTCCTCAAGACAAAGAAAAACAAAAGCTCAAGGTTTCTCTCCTTTTCTCTGTTGTATTTTCTGCAGTTGGGAAAGTGCTCTGGCACCATATTTAAAAAAAAAATCCCTTTTTTTTCTCACCTTTCAACTTACCTTCTTCCTTCTCTTGCTCACTTGGTTACTATTAATCATTATTAGGGGTGTTTTGTTGCATAAATTTAAAAATTATAGCTTTTTTTAATCTATTGCAAATTTTAACTTAATTTCTTGATTCTTGTACTAACTTAAGTTTAAGAATCTTAATTTTAAGATGCTCAAACATCATCAAATAATTTCTTGTGATTTCTTATACTTTTGTTTCTGAAATAAAATTCAACTTCTTATAAGTATGAATTTTGCATAAACATTTATAAATATTGAAATTAAAGCTTATTTTAAGAGGTAATTATTTGTCATGTATAATATGAAAGTAGTAATCAACAATTTACATTTATAGAAAATTTGTATATTTTCATTATATCCTTCATTCAGTTGATGTATATAGAATAAGATATAAAGGTTTTTAATAGTAATTACCTGTGGTAAATAGGTAATATTGCACAAAATGAACTCCCTATAATAATTATTAGTAATATTAAACCTGCAATTTCTATGTCAGTTGTACTAATATTGATTTTGAAAGGTTTCTTATTAATCTTTTCATAACAAGTTTTATTATAGCAAAAACCTTTTCCTTAACACTGGATTTTCATTGCTTTTTTTCTCTTTTTCCTTTTATCACATTTTTTTTTTTTTAATTGGTTCATGGTTTTGATGATGACAAGAGATAATAACCACTTGAATGTCATTTTTGTCTTGTATGTTTGTTTTCAGAATTTGCTGTGCTGCAGAGTATGTGCATTTGTTTTGAGTCAAATAAGTAAAAATGGCTTTCAGTAAATTTCTAGAAATAGGCAAAATATTTATAGAAAGTTTGGATTTGAAAAAAAAAAATATGTAAATGTTTTTGCCTTAAAGAAAAAGGTAAAGATTAAGGTAAATGAAGCTTTGGGATTGCTTATATAGAGATACCTCCACTTTTTTTGGCATAAATTTTTCATTACGCTGTGCTGTTTTTTTCTGTGAAAAAGTGGAGGTACCTACTTACATATAATCTTGTTGGTAAGAAATAGGAGGCACAAATGTTAATTACAAATCTACATGTATAAAATATAATATATATAGCTTTCTTTCTTTCATATATATCTATGCTATGTTTATTTCACTTTACTTTTTTAAGCAGTGATTTCTACTCAAACATGTGTAACCAATAAATATAAAATCTATAGTAAGAAGAAATAATGTCAGATTAGAAAATCCATTAATTGCTTTTCTGATATGAAAAAGTAAAGTTAGATATAAACTTCAAACAGTTCAAGCAAGAGATGTGCATTTATTAAATAGGTCAATTGATTCTAGCTTTGCTGTTATAGCTTCATGTGGCTTAATGATGAGGCACACTTGGTTTGAAAGTGGTTTCTCTGAATAAAAAGAGAATACAAGATGATTTTTTTTTTTTTTTCAAGAAGCACGTTTTTTAGTAGGACTTTTGATCTCTAGGCCAGTAGACATTTATTTCCCTTTTTTTTTTTTTTTTTTTTTTTTAAATAGCTGTGACATCTAATCAAACATGTCTGCCCATTAATAACTTTTATAGTAATAAGACACACACACACACACACACGAGAGGTACTGAAAAGTTTTTGGCTTGACCCAGATTAATGATGTGAATGACCTAGAGCCATGAAATGGACATAGTATTATAAATATTCTCCCTACAGTTCAACAGATTGTTTCTGAATTTTCTTAACAATTCTGAAGCAGGTTGTGGTAAAGACATTTTCAGCATCTTCTTGTATATATTTTTAATTTGTGAGTATGTAACATTTTTATTACATCCACAGAAGACTCCATAACATACGAAATATGGCTGATTTGTCCTTCTCTATGTTGTGGGCTTTTCTGGTAACATAACATTATTTTCTGTTACTTTTTAACTTGAGAAATAAAATGTCAATTTTTCTTCTCTACTCAGGAAGTATTGCGCATAAACAAGAAAAAGCAGAGCAACAGTGGTTTTAATATTTTAGAAGTATATTTCAATTGTAAAATTAAATATTTCTTCCATTCTTTCTTTTTTTATGGCATGGGTAAACTAAGTATCATGATGAAGACTAAATTTTAGAATTTTTCTTCTTTGTACTTGTATCTACTATATTTCTGCAAATAAAGCAAGATTATTTAGTCAGTGTTATTGTCTGCTTCCTGATATGTGTCTGTCTCTCAGGCAGCCTTACGGCAATCAAAACCCTGAAGACAAAATCCTGTTCATCAGCTGTTGAAAGCCAAAAGGGGTGAACCTAGAAAAAGAAATAAATACAAATTTGAGACGAGTTTAGTCTGAATTAAAAAGAAAAAATAATAAAAAAGTAAAAATGAAGGAAAAGAAGAAATATGACAAAAGCTGAAGATAACTGTCAGATTGAGGGTCTAAATAGGTAAAAGTAGGTTGCAAGTAGTTTACTTACAAAAATATGTTTTACACTTTACAGTGGTCTACAGAAAGGAATAATGTTACATGAAGTTATCATATGGCACAGTGAAAACAGTCAACATGTAGTGAAAGGGGTTCTACATGAGAAAGTAAAGCAGTAAAAATAAATGTAAATAAGGGGGCTACATTAAACAGACGTCTAAATAATAATAATAAGATATTAAAGGAGACTAATGCAGAGAGAAAAAGTATAAAAAGCTATGGGTGATTCTATTGTTGTGGATTAAATTTAGGAAAATAAAAAAATTAGAAACTGCCTGTTTTGACCCTATGCTTCAATGTACTAATTTCAGTAATTACTACAGGCTAAACAGGAAGAGGTAAAAAACAGTGACTAATCTAAAATGTACCTAAATTAAAAAGGGAATGAACAAGGGAAAAATAAAACAATAGGGGTGCTGTACTGTGGTAGCAACAGTTATTGTAAATAAGATTGAACATATTGCACTATAGCTGTTTCAATTGGCATCTGAATTGCTTTAGACATGGGAATGTTTATAAAGGTTTTTGTAGGCTTACAGCCACATCATGTTGAAACACTAGTTCCTGTACTATCATTGAAGTTAAGCAATGTTGAGCCTGGTCAGTATCTAGATGGGTGACTGCTTGGGAATACTACGTGCTGTAAATCTTGGATGGGTGGTTTAATGGATAATGGCTTGTAATTGGAAATAGAACAGTGTTCCAATTCAAATTGTGTTTGTTATATTCACTTACATGCAAACACCCTTGGGAACGGTATGAATCCCCCCCCCCCAATTATGGATTAATTAGTAAGACTTGTATCAGTAAATCATTATCTTCAAAAAAAAATTCTTACAATCTAAAAATCTCTTTCAAATGATACCAGATTTAGCTTCCGTGCTATTACTGGTTATGATATATGGTTTTGGAAAGTGATAATTTTTTTTTTTTAAGTTTTACATTTCCAGCTCCTAGTTGGGTCATGTGATGAATGTTAATGCTATCTATTGAAATACAGTGCTATCAAAATTGCTGGTATATGCAGACACTCCACACTATAAGTGTGTGAAATGTGTGGGCACATTTGAGCTTCTGGTCTTAGAGGGTTAAAAAATGATAAATTCAAGAGGCTTTGTTTTACAAATTGAAACAGTCTGACAAAAGCATTTTACAATAAATTTTTAAAAAGTTAGCCTTTATGTAATTATTTTTGCTCCTTTTGAAAACTAATGTTTTGTTAGCATTTAAGTTCTTTATTGTCAAAAAGTTAACTCTTTTTAGGTAACATCAAACAATATTCTTAATTATCTATACCTACATAACATGTAAGTTGATTGGTAAGTAGTCTCTCCTACCATGTGGCATTGCCAATAGTGGAGATGTAAATTTATTTGAACATGTCTTCATTAGTATTTAAAGTCCTGTTTCTATGTGCAGAGTGTCAGTTTGCTGTGTGAAGATATTGAGTAAGTGTTCATTCATCATGTTTTACATTTATATTGTGAATAAAGCTGCAGTTAAGGAGCCATATGCATGAAATTTCTGTCAGAAGGAATGACAATTTTGTAACATATTGCAGACATTCAACACATCTATAGATAACTTTTATACATTATAATAATGTAAGACCACATTTTAGTCAGCAAAACAGCATTAGTTGTTGTACAGCCCTGATTTGGTAGCATCATACTTCGGTGGTTTTTGAAATTGAAAAAGGCCTTTTCATCCAATGCCAAAGTTACTGAGTGCTAGTGGATTATTAACCCAATGACTTTCTTCATGTATAGGACAAAAAGTCAAGAGAACATTTAGAAAGATTATGTAGAACTGAAGTGGTTATGTTGAAAAATGAACTTGTAATTTTGAAGAGAAGTAAATTTACTTAATTTTGATACCAGTTTAATTTTTCTATTGAGTCTCAAACTGATTTTATAGGACTGGAGACTTTATTTATTGAACAACCATTGTGCAACCTTTCTTGTACAAAGATTTATTGCTTGTGTCTTTTGAATATTATAGCAATTTTTTTTTTTTTTTAAATAGAAATCAAATGATTCTAACATTTTTTGAATTGACTTCATTTAGATTGAACATTGATTGAATTGGGAACATTTTTCCATTGCACTTGAAATTTTATTTCTGTACTTTCAGAAAGTTATATTTGTTACAGGTTTAGAATTTTGTTACATTATCTTATTTTCTATTTTAATGTTAAACCTTCAAAAAGATTGGGTAATGGAGAAAGTATTTTTGACTTGCAAACAACATACAGAAATACAAATAATTTCTCTACTTATTTAAAGAAAAAAAAAAAAATCTTATGGCCAAGTCCTTCAGATTTTGTGTGGCAAATGACATTGTTTGATATTTGCTTGCCATCATAATTTTACAGCGTTAAATATGTTACAAAATAAAAGATGATTTTCTTTTTATGAAAAGAGATTTTCTTTTGAATCATAGAAAACAAATTTAATAATGAAAATTTTATTTTAAAAATTCTCTGTAACTTACTAGTGGTCATAAAGGGGTTATTTTCTTTAATTTTTTATTTATTTATGGAAATGTTAAAGTGTAATGCAGAGTTTGTTAGTCCGAGTTGACAACCTGTCTTGGAGAAGGATCACCCTGACTACTGATTGCTAGAAAATTTGGTTTGTGCTAGACAATTGCCACAATCTATTTTACATATTTATAAAGCTACTATTTGTCTTTGATTTGAATATTGCTGCCACATCTGGTCTGGTGTTCCTGCTATATATTTAGAGATTCTCGATAAAATCCAAAGAAAAATCTACAATGTCCTGACATGGCATCTTGGCTTCAGCCACTTTCCCACTACCATAATGTAGCTTCCCTATGCCTTTTCTATGAATACTTCCATGACTATTGTTCTGATAAACTTTCCTTTATGGTACTTAGACTTTATAAATTTAAGTGCAGTACTAGATTGGCAGCAAGGTCTCATCATTTTACTGTTGAAATGGTTAGATGTAACTGTAAGTTCTATGCTAAGTTTCTTCTATCACACTTCTTGCTTGTGGAACTCTTTTGCAGCTTCTTGTTTCCCAGTAAATTTTGGCCTTCAAGATTGGGGGGGGGTGGCGGTTAGATAGAGGTCCTTAGTCACTTTGGTGATAACCCTTCAAGTGACCAACAGCTTCATCCTTTTGATGAGGGGAAATGAAATGGGGCTTGGTAGCCAATTTTCAAGTAAGAGTAGGAAGAGGATTTAGTACCGCACCTCATAACTACCCCCCCTCCCCTGCCTCTGGATGAGAATCATGGACATAGGATATGCATAACGGCTTGGAATAAGAAATCAGAGAGCTGAGTTTGAATTCCAGTTGAGTACATTCAATTACATGCAAACACTCTTGGGAAAAGGTATCAGTTCATTTCGCACTAGCTATAGGTTAAATAGTAGGATAGACTGAGCTCTCTAGCCATGTTTGGCAACAAGTCTATGAGAAAGACAACATTGAATTCAAAACTATAAAAATTGTATATGCTCCCCTGACCCTAAACTATGAAGATGGGAAGAAGCAAAAAGCAAATTAGAATTGTATTTGAAATGTCTACTTGTTTTTGTTGCATTTCTGTTTAAGTATGTTTTAGTTGTCAGTTATTATTCTTTCTCAAATGGTTCCTCTGTGTAGCTATACTAGCATGTAGTTTTATGTTAAAATGAACTTGCAAAGCAGTTCTGTAATTAGTGATCCTAACCTGGTAAAACTGCATAGCGGAACCACTTGAGAATGTAAATTACTAATAGCAACAAAATGGTTAAAACTTGGGCTAAAATGGGTAGTTATTGAAGGATAATTAGATTTTGTCAGTAGTAAACTGAGCCCTCTGATCAAGAGCTCTTGGCTTGTATTTAAGATTATTTTTCTTCTCAGATTAGTTTGTGGAAATCAACTAAAATAGTCTTCTGTCTGGAATTGAAAACTTTAACCTTTTTAATACTATTTTCTTATTGCTTGATCAAAGTACTAGAATAGATGAATTACTGTATTTGAGGATATGTAAGGACATCTTGAGCATTTACATTTAATATTAAAATATTATGGAGTTAGGCTAGGTACAAGTCCATGGTATCATATATTTAAAAAAAAAATTTATTAATAAAGTTCACTTAATACAAGGCCCAAGAGGCACTCAAGGTAGATGGTTACAGAATTAAGTGTGTGATATGAATGTAAAAGTAGAAAGTGAAGATTATGATGGATAGATAATAATTGACCCTAGACTTGAAGAGTTTCTGTGAAGCAATAGCCTATTGGGTATATCAACTTTACATAGAAAAATCCCTATTTATATTTAATATTACAATATTATGGAGTTAAGCTATAGTTGCAAGTTCTTGTAGTGTGTGGCAATATTGATAATATTAATTAATAATTTTTCATTCTGTCTTATTACTTCAAATGTTATTATTGTGGATACTTCATATTTGAAATTAGATGCCCTGGTTTTAGTTATTAAAACAGTGTGTATTATGTCTGTCGGCCTGTGCATACAAGGAAATCTTTGTAAAGAAAATGCATTCTCTGGCAGGGATTGAACATGCATCTCTCTTTGTCGAGGAAGCTATTGTTTGATCCCATTTGTTTTACTGCTCAGCCATAAAGAATGTCACAGCAAGCATGGTTCTAATCTGAATGAAGAATACATGCTTTCATTAAAAAGGGAAAATAGAACCTTCTTTGCTGTGATGTTATACATGGCTGAGTGATAAAGCCCACCAGATCAAATAAGGGTTTCCCTAGAAAGGGGAATGCAGGTTTGATTCCTGCTGGAGGAATGCATTTTCTATTCTAAAAATTTTTGAATGCACAGTTACTATTCTTGTTCAAATGATTTCTCTATGTAGCTATACTAGTATGTAGTTTTATGTTAAAAATGAGTGCAAAACATTTTTGTAATTTGTAATTCTAAGACATAATACACAATGTTAACAAATAAAAATGAGACGTCTATTTCAAATTCAAAGTATCCAATATATTAACGTCTGAAGTCATAAAAATGTTGGATTCAAAATAAGTCCATTTATTCTGTCTTCTAAATTCTCATAAGTTTAACAAAACTTATGAGTTTGTAAATTAAAAATTGTAATACATTTTGTAACATGGGTGATTGGTTTAGTTGCTAAATGATTTAAATAAACAAATGGATTAGGAAGAGCCTTTTGAATACTGCCTCTCTCTCATAATAGTTGATACATTTGCTTATTTTTTCTTTTGATTATTATCCACAATTAAATATTGTTTATATGTCCTTGTGACAACTTTGTACTGTTAGGTTTCTACCTGACAGTAGAAATTAAAAAAAATAATGTAAGGTACTTTAAAGTGAACTAAAAAAAAATGCAAACTTAATAGACATGATTTGTGGAGAGAGGTGGAAAATTTTGTCAAAAAATCTACACATCCCTCCTCTTTTATTAGTTACTTAATAGCCAGGCAAAACCTGAGATGACAAATGATACTTAAAATGCTGTGTTACAGTATTTGCTCCCCAACAGCATAAAGTGTGCCCCGTGCCTCACCAATGCTATTATAATATAAAAAGTAAAGAAAAAAGGGACTTAAATTTTGATTAAAAGTTTTCCAAAATTAATGGCTTCAAACTTTAATTTTTCATTGAATTTATGTTTTATTTACAACTTTATTTTGGAGGCAAGGTGATGTAATGGTTATCAGGATGGATTAAGGAATTGGAGAGCCCTCAGCTATTGGTAAATTATCAGGGCAGACAGTGTCCTCTAGCCTTTGGTGGCAACCATTCTAGGAGAAGGAAACTTTGAATTCTAACCACCTTCTGCCTTGTAGGACTTACCCTCTAGCCTTTGCCTAAAAAGAAAATTTCAGAAACAAATCCACCTCTGAGAGTAGGGATGGGGTAACCTCAACATCTCCAGTGCAAAAGGAACTGGAAAGCCATTGAATTATTCTGCTTTGAATATTACCATAAACCACAATTGTGAGATGGAGGGGAGTAGTGACCACAGTGGCAGTGCAAAATGCAATAACTGAATAAAATGAATGAGTCTTTATTTTGGAACAAATGTTATGTATTAAATGTAACTGCTGCTAATGGGACAGAGGTAGTAATGTTTTCATGAATGTAGCTGTTGGCTGAATAATGGATGATACTTGCTTCAGGCTTACAACTAGCAACAAAGAATGTTATTCTCTAACTCAACCAAATAATGATTTTGCATCATGTAAATAGAATATCAACACATTCTTTTTTTTTTTTCTTTTACAGGTGGTTGCGTCCCATTTTGAAGGATTACTCACAGCCCTCACTGGCTATATTGTATTTGCTCTCGCTTTAGTTTCTATATATCTTCTTTTTGTTTTGGTACGAGTAAAAAGGTAATTTGCCAGTTTTTCTCTTTTGCTATTAGTCTCTTTCTGAATTTCTGGTTATGATGAGTTATCATTATTTACACTATTTACATGCAAACTATTGTCAATGAAATCTGGCATGGCTGATCATGTATGGATAAAAAGGATAACCATTAACTACTGTGGAATGAAGCAAAAATACTGGAGAAAGAAGAACATTGGAGAATTTAGATTTCTGAAAGAATTGGCACATATGCTAGGCTTCTTTAGTCAGCCAAGCACAGAAATAAATACATTGTTGGAACTGTTAATAAAGAAAGACAAATGACAGCAATTTTTCAAAAGCAGTTGTCACAAAAGAGAAAAAGCTTCAGTGAGTTCAGTCAAGGATGACAAGTAGCAACATCACTCATCAGCAGGCAGGTTAGGTTTAAGGTTTCAAGTCTCCACAGAGAATTGGGACAAAAGCCTAGTGGATTAATGCATTAGTTCATGAATTTAGTGACATAGTAATTATGAGTTTGTGGAAAATAACTGAGCAGTACTAAAGATAAGAACTAGACAAAATAACCCTAGACTTGGGCAGTGGAATGAAAACAGTCAATTAAATAAAGGGTTCAGTTTAGAATTCCCTATAGGTTACTCGGATCGACTTAGACCTGATGAAGACTGGAGGTCACATCAGTTAAAACCTTGTGATATCAAAAATGCCAAGGACAGTAGGCTGCATGTAAATAGTGTAAATAATACTTTTGGTCTGCTAGTCTTTTCTTTAATCTTTTACACAAGAAACTGTTTGCTCTAGTTTTTCAATATTTGTTTATCTTACGGAATGATAACAACACTGAAGCAGTTTGCTGATAAAATATTTTCCATTTGCACGTTGATCAGTTTTGTATATTTTCTTATGCAGTGACTGGTAATATTGAATTTTCAAATATATATCTTTTGTGCAGTGATAAATGTACAGAGGAGATTGATTATAAAATAATACTTTTATCTTTTTTTTTTAATTCATGCACTAACATCTTTCTTAGGAAAGGCATGAATCCAACTCTTCTCCCATTTATGGGTTAAATAGCAAAGTAAACTTGATTCTATCACATTGGATAGCAATCAGTCTGAATTCAAACCAGCCTGAAGAGGGATGTGTTCTGACAGGCTATTTTGCACTAGACACACCCACTGCTGTTACAACTGCAATACACGTGGTGCACCTGCAACTCTAATGGGTTATGGAACTTGTGATTGTGATATTAGGGTTGCCCCAATTAATCAGTTGATAATTGTACAAAGATTGATCCAAGAAGATTAATGGAAAGATATAATATTATTTAATTAATTATTTAAATGAGTTATATTGTTTAATTAAATTTGTTCTATTTTCTAGATAATTGATAATTAAGCCAGAGATGGAATTTCAGCAAACTTGAACCTTTGTGCCTGCAAAAAAAAAAACAATGTTAAAAGGATGGTTTTTCCATTGACACTGCTATTATTTTAACTACTTTCTCTCCTCGGCAATGTTTGTTGTTTCAAAAGTTGATGCTTCAAATTGAAATAAAACCTAAACATATGACAAAATTGAATTTATACATACATTTTTTGGTTCTCAAGAATTTACAACAAAAATATTAAACACTATTTATTAGATAGTTTTTAAAATGCTGTAAATATAAAATTATTCTTGTAAATAAACAAATACAATTAAAACTAATGCAATATATTTATCATTTTCCAATTTATAAAGAAAGAAATTTTTTATTCACAAATTTATAAACAGTTGTTAAATTATTAAAATATGGGAACTATAAGGAAATACTTATTTGCTAGTTTATAAAGTTCAAATCAATTGGCAATTAGTCAATGTTTTGCCAACCATTCCAATAAACAATATAATAGTACTTATTATTTTTGTTGACAATTCTTAAAAACAAAGAAAATGTATAAATTCACTTTCATATGTTTAGGTTTTATTATAATTTTTTCTGAGGAATGAAGGTAGTTAAATTATTACAGGTGTCAATGGAAAAACTGTCCATTCATTTTTTAGTGGAAATGAAGGACCAAATTTACCAAAATTTCTATGATGTAATAAACAAGAGTGATCAAGTATAAAAATAGATTAATCATTGTATGACGGAGAATAATGGTGATCAATTAATCAGATGTTGATATGGTTAATTACCAATTATCAGCCAATTAATACAACCCTAATTTATATCCAGGACTATTCTGCCAGTTGAATATAATTTGTCTTGAGAATGAAAATTTGTAAGTTAAATTTGTCAGTAACACATTACTCCCCAATCTTTTGAACAGGAGTAGAGGTTTATCCTTTGTTTCCTGTTTAGGATTGGGTTTCTGGTTCCTTCTAAAGTTTTCTCATTTTCTTTTACTCCAAGTAGCTCTTTGCATCTTAGTGGCATTATCACCTTGCTTGAGACGTTCTATTAAACTTTTCCTAGAAGCATATTTCTTTTATGTTGACTGTATTGAAATCAAGTTAAAAGTTTAATACAGTCAACATAAAAGAAATATGCTTCTTCTTTATTTACATATGGACAACACACCTTCACCTAAAAAATACACACAAAACTCACTAGCTGGTTAACATCCACAAGTCACCTGCAGGCTTCAAGAGCTATTGAGAATCAAAGACATTGATCCAACATGCCAGTCAATAAGGTCCAGTAAAACAATGTATCAGGAATATGTCAATAGCAATAACTATCACTGGCTCAGCTGACAAAAATGACTATATTCAAGTAAACAATATTATCCTCCTCTGTGCAATTGATAAAGATGATTTAAACAATATGTCTGCACAACATGAAAGGAACTGATATTTGGTTCTTACAAGAAAATTGTTAAACTATCTTCTGTGTAGATTCAAGTCTTAACCATCATTAATTTGAAAGAATTACTTTTTTACATGATCATTTAACTTTATTACATTTTTTTGTGTGTATCTGTCAAGAACCATTCTGACACTTAGTGAAAATTGTAATTTCTTTCTTTTTCAGGTTTCGAAGATTGATAGGTCTTTGTTATGTTGTAGTTAAAGTCAAGCTTCTTGTTGTAGTAGAGATTGGTGTTTTCCCACTTGTTTGTGGTTGGTGGCTTGATGTTTGCTCTTTGGTGAGTGATTAATCTTTTTATTTTAATTTACACAATGGAAACAAATTACATTATTCTTGCACTAAAGAGCAATCTAGTTTGTAAAATTATTATTATGTTTTTTTAACATTTGTGCAAAGAAAACAATGTGTCAAAAGGATGGTTGTTCTCTTGACACTGCTATTATTGTATACACGTTTGACTCCCTCAGCAATGTTTGTTTTTAAAAAGCAATGACTAGAATTTTAATATAACCCAAACATAAAAGCGGATTTATACATGTTTTTCTTGGGGGGGGGTTGTCAACAAAGATATTGAACATTATTTATTTATTAGACTGAATAAAATAAAACAAAAAATAAATTATTTTCATAATTATTTATAAAATTGTAAATCATTAATATTGCTTTGTTTACATATTTTGATAATTTTCTAATTTTTTATAAATTTTTGAATAAAAAGATTTTCCAAATTTCTTTCTTTATAAAAGGTAAATAATAAATATGGCATTGTACTTGATTTACATATTTTTATAATCTTATAAATAAACATTGCTTAGGTGTAATAGCAGTGTTAAGGAAATAACTGTCCCTTTGACAAAAATTTTTTTGCCAAATTTTAAAAAGGTTTTATGTGGTTCATATTAGTGTCATTGAACCAGAAAATCTTTATTTACATCTTTTTCAATTTGCTAAATAGCAATTTTTTTTCTTAGAGAAAGATATGGCATTAAGAAATGACATGGATTTTAATAAACATAAGAAATTACTTTTCTTAGAGAAAGTCATTTCATATGTCTATTAAAACATTTTTGAGTTTCTTTCTGTTTTTATCTTTTTCTTCTATTTTATAAATAAAAGAAATGTAAATCCAAAGTTTCCACCCAAAACATTGTTCAAGTCATAATTCATGTAGTTGAATGATATTTTGGATTTAAAAATTTTGAAGTTGTTATTCATTGAGTTGAACAACTTTTAATTGTAATAAAGATGATACAGTTTTTGAATCAATAGATTCAATTTATTCTTAAATATTATTTAATTTTCATAGTTGTTTTTTATATACACATACTTTGACTTGGTTAAATCTTTCAGGCAATGTTTGATGCTACTCTCAAAGAGAGAAAGAACAGCTTCAATTTGGCTCCTGGCACCTCCATGTTTGTACATTGGCTTGTCGGAATGGTGTATGTATTTTATTTTGCCTCATTCATCCTCCTCCTGCGAGAAGTGCTAAGACCAGGAGTATTATGGTTCTTGCGAAATCTGAATGATCCTGAATTTAATCCTATTCAAGAGGTAAAATATTTGAAGAATCTCTTAATTTCTTTTATCATTTTATTATTTGTTATTAGAATAGTAATAAATTATTTACATACAGACTATTGTCCACATCTTTGTCATAACATTTTGGCCATTGTGCTCTTGAAGTGATTGTCAATCCAGGTAACCTTCAGGCAATTTCTAACTGAACAAGAGGACAATAGTGGATTAAAATTTGAAGTTTGTGAATTTGGTGACATAGTAATTGTGAGGTCAATCCCTGGGCCAGGCAGTGTGTACTTGGGCTCTGTGGAAACGGGGCAGGCAATAACTGAGCAGTATTAAAAATAAGAACTAGATGAGTTATCTCTGGACCTGGAGAATAGAATAAGAAAAATCTACACCAGTTTATTCAATAAAGGGTTCAGTTTGAAATTCTCTGAAGGTTACCCAGATCAACAATCACCTGATCAAGGCCAGAGAGGACAACAGCCAAAACCTTTTAAATTAAAGTAATATGATGTTAAATCTTAAAGGAAGATTGATAAAAGGTCGAGAAATACTTAAGATGCGTAGCAGTTGTACTTATAGGAAGGAAAATTGGCATGATTTAAGATATATGTATATAGTAAAGTTTGAGATTAAAAGAATTAATTTTCTAAAATGCATTTAATTATAATAGAATTAACACCTGGAATTATCTAAGTTTGAACATCTTTAATAGTTTTAAGCAGTTTAAATTATTAGGCTTTCCCCTCGCCAATAAAAATGACAATCGAACAAAACCAGATATCCTTTGTAGAAAGGAATTTTATTCATCACAGTACTTCTACTATTCAATTCTGCTTTGTTTATTAGCTCAAGAATTTGGTTGACCATTTTGGATATGACCTGAAGGTGAATTCACCAAACCGCTTCTCCTGATTCTCTTACTACACACATATGCAAATTGATTTTGCAACTGGGCACCTGAAAGAAACCTGTTACTATAAATACAGGGATCCACTTTGGACCCTGTGCAGAGAAAACTGTTGTCCACTTCTGAGAGTAAAGTAAAAAAAAAAAAAAAAAAAAAATCATTGTTCATTGTGTCCATTAACTACCCATCCATTCAACTAGACAAATTTACTTCAGGGATAATTAGTTTAATTGTTTAGGGATAATTAGAACCAATTTGTACCCAGAGATGTGATGATATAATGGTCAAGTATCAAAATTCTAATCTGATGCCTCTAAGGTTGTGTAGAATGAGTTGATCTTCTGTGCTGTCAAGAGTTGGTGACAAAGCTTAAAAAAAACAAGGAGTTAAGAAAAAAAAAATGTATTTTTGTTTGCCATAAAGGTTTTGGCTTTTCTTAATCTGAAATGATTTGTTTTTCTTGCAGATGATTCATTTACCGGTGTATAGACATTTTCGCAGATTCATTGCTTCTGTTGTAAGTTATTTTTTCCACTCATCCCTTTTTCTTAAAAAAAACAAAAAAACACAGGAATATATGTCTCTGTGTCAATTTGCATAGAATAGACAAGACTATGTGTCAATTTACATGGAATAGATGAGTCCCTGTATCCGTCTGTACGGAATAGACTAGGCTCTCTAGACATTTTATTTTTATATTAAAGTTCATCTAATACAGGGCTTGAAAACCACTCGAAGTAGAGGGTTACTGTTATGAATGATGTGTGTGATATGAATGAAAGAGCAAGTGATAGGAAATGGAGATTATGAGGATGAGGAGTATAGATAATGATTGACTCTTGAAAAGTTGTCAGCCTAACAAAGAAGGAATTCCAAAAACAATTCTGATACTTGGTTTTTATTTTGTGAAGATTGCAGTGTTCAGCTACTTAGGTGACAACCAGTCTAAGAGAATCCAGAATTGAAAACCGTGGAGAAGACAGTGGTAAACTATACCACTATCTTTCCCAAGAATTCATGGCAATTCACAGATAATAAAGAAAAGGAATTTGTGGAGAGTCATAATTACCTATGCCCTGAAGGGGGCATTAAAAACAATAAAAAACAAAAATGAATGCACTTTTATATCATTTACTTTGTCAAGAAATTTAGGAATAAATAACATAAGTGTAACGATAATCTTAACTGTTTCCTTACAAGGAATTCAGCATTCATTGAGTATGCAGCTTGTACTACTGTCATTTGCAATTTATAAAAATATTTCTCTTAAAACAGTTTTTCAGAAAAATAGGTTTCTCAAGTCCAGTAGCTGTTATTACTCTTTCTAGTATTGATTGGCTGTTTCCTTCCTAACCTTTTGTTTGAAGTAGTGTGGAATGTTAACATATTGATTATGTCATTATTTTCTCTTTCACTTATATAATGTTTCTCTTAAAACAGTTTTTCAGAAAAATAGGTTTCTCAAGTCCAGTAGCTGTTATTACTCTTTCTAGTATTAATGGGGGTTTTCTTCCTAACCTTTTATTTGTAGTAGTGTGAAATGTCAACATCTTCATTATGCTATTATTTTCTGAGTTACATGTGATACCCATTTTAGTTGTTGCTGCTGTTGGTAGTCCTCAAGTGATTTTCTATTATTTGGTACAGTACAGTTGTGATTCTGTAGTGCCAGTCCACAATGTTCAAAGGAGGATGGTCTTTGCCAAGACCTTCAGGCTTCACTTGCTCAAAGCCATGTTTAACCATTGATCTTTATAAAGTGGTTGTATACAACAGACAATTTAGATTTTTATGGACATGTTTGGTACCATGCATGACATCCAATGTCTTGATATGATGTGGCTATTTAAGAATATTACTCTAGTTTTTAGTTTAATGTGTATGTTTAATTTAATTTTTGTTTCTCAGTGAAGCAATCTACTTAGGTAGTGCCCAGACAACTTAAGATTATTAAATCAACAGACAATAATATTCTTCATGAAAAGTATTCTTCTGCCATATCTCCTCTACTTTTTACTGTTTACTTTATCTGTTAAATAATTACTTGTCTGTTGAAAAAGCATGAAGTCATTGATATTTATATATTCATTTTAATAAATCTATTGATGAACTTTCGTCCATGGTACCTGGGTTTTATGAATTTAATTGCAGTACTAAATTGGGGACAAGGTCTTATTTTATTGTTGAAACAGCTAAATGTAACTGTAAGTTCTATGCTAAGTTTCTTCTGTTATACTTCTTGGTTGTGGAGCTTTTTCAGCTTCTTGCTTCCCAGCCAACTTTGATCTCCAAAGATTTAAATGTGATGTCAATCGCTATCTACTGTCTTAATTCTTGTTCTTTTATTGTTGTCTCTCCTTTTATAGAGTATGTGTATGTATGTTTTTTTTTCTTATTCTCTAGCACTCAGTAAACCCTTATGTCTTAGTGGCTTTATTGTTGTGCTTGGGTTGAAATGATTACAAAAAAAAAAAATAGTGTATTTTAGATAAATGTAGAAAAGCCTATGCACATGTCAAAGCCAAATGTATTATTGTCTTCTTTCAGGTAATATTTGGTAGTACTGTGCTACTAATGCTTTGGTTACCAGTTCGTGTCATCCGAAGACTGATGCCTACCTTCTTACCATATAATGCTGTCTTGAACAATGATGCTGTTATGAGTGAATTGTCTTTGGAATTGCTTCTGCTTCAAGTTGTGTTACCTGCCTTACTTGAACAGGGTCACATCCGGGCATGGTTGAAGAGTGTGGTTCGAGGATGGACAATTGGAATGGCCTGGGTACTTGACCTTAGGTCATACCTCATTGGTGACATTCCACTATCAGATCAGGTAATGCTATCTTTGAAGATTTTTATTTGTTTTTATTCTTTTTTGTGTTCAGTGAACAAATAACTGTCTTTATTTTAACTATTATTATTATTGCATCTTTGCATTTTTTTTTCTCCCCCTTTTTATAGGATAATATAATTCAGGGGGATCAACCACCAGTTGTTCCTGTTCCCAATGCAGCCCCTGCCGCAGCTGCCCCTCCAGCTGCAGCTCCAGCTCCGGCCCCACAGGCTCAAGCAGGACTTGGAGCAGCACATCAAGCGATGCTGCAAGGCGGAGGACCCACTGGATTCCAAGCATACAAAAGACCATCTTTTTTTACGATACGAGTGAGTGCATAGATTTAATGCTCCCTTTGTATGTTATAAACTGTTTATATTCAAACTTTGACATGTTGAATTCATAAGGAACTTTAATTTTCTCTTTGTGTTAAATTTTTCATTATCAATCCTTATTGGGTGCTTGGTTTTATTTTGTTCCATCTTTCCTTTCACATTCTTCATGACATTGCTGTGGTTTTTATTTTATGACTTCATCTTTTCTCTTTTTTTACATTGCAGGTGTTTCTCCTTGTTGTTTTTATGTGTGTCACATTATTTACTGCCAGTCTGGTGTCTTTAGTTGTACCAGGTAAGTCAACTTTTGAAAATATGTCCCCCCAGCCCTGATAATGTTTCCATATATGTGCATACATTACATTGTGCAGGTGTACATATAGTAATTTGCCTCAAAATGAGGTTTGACAAAATTCTAAAAAACACAAAACAAATGTAAGTTTATATATTGTTTATTTGGGCAGTAACCTTTCTTTTATACATGTTTCATTAGATTTGGCAGACAGGGAAAGTTTTTGTAATGTTCGTATAGTTGTCCTTTTTGAGGGGATGTCTGTAATATAATATCCGATAATAAAGAATTATTGCTCTACTATTGTGCTGAACCCAGTTTTTAAATTAATGCTGTGAACATTTGAATTTATATTTGATTCGTTCTCATTTCATTTGTACACACACACACACACACACACACACACACATACATATATGTTTAGGTAAATGAGATAACGAGATATTAATGACCACATACGAGTGTGCTGGCATGCATACGCTGGTAAGCAAATAAATAATTATCAAATTTAGCCAAGTGGTGTAGACATAATAGTGCTCAATGTGAATAGATAGAGCTAAGAAATATATGTTAACAAATACTCGTATACCTATGTTTGATGTGCAACTTGAGTTTCATTTGTTACCTAATTCATTGGGCACGAGTTGGGTAACCAGTAAAACTCAAGTAGTACATCAAACATAGGTATATGTGTATTTATTAACATATATACAGGTAAAATGAGAACAAGATTAAACACACTAAAACTAAGTTATAGCTGTACCAATAGTCTTACAAAAAAAAAAAAAGTGAAAAATTTGGATAATAATGCACATTCCAAGATAAATACTGTTGATAATATTAAACAAGATAATTGCAAGAATTCTAACGAATACTCATTATGAAGCAAATGTTTAACCAACTCTCTTTTTTATCTAAGTACTATTTCAACAATAGAGAATCTGGCTGTTGAAAAATCTTGGTAGTACTAAGAATCCTTTTAAGACTAGGTGGTATCAACATATCTTACCCTTCACCAATAGTATTTATAAAAATAATACATTGCTTTCTAAATATTTTTGGAATTTAAAAAAAACCCTATGGTAAAATGGAAAATTAAAAAAAAAAAAAAAAAAGCTGGAACATGTAGATCGTTAAATGAACCCTGTTTTATATGCTTACATGCAAAATTAGAAATTATCATGGAGTTGACTTTTTAATATTTTTATATTAAAAAGACCTCATTGGTATAATCCCTGCTACCTATGGATTTAGTATTATCTTTCTCTTTCTATATATATATATATATAGCATTTTTCTTAACACCATCTCAATTTTTTTTTTTTTTTTTCAAATATTAAGTATGTCTTATTTTTTTAATCTTTTTTATAACAAGGTATAATCATTTTATACCTGTTGGTATAAATTATATATATGGGACAAAGCTGTAATCTAAGTTTAGTATATTACTGTCAAAGTAGATATTACAAGTGACTGTGGATAATATTGGTGTTTCATTCTGTTGTCAAGTCTAACAAAATGTCTCTAACTGTAACAAAATTACATTTCTTCAGATTTATTTTTAATCTAAAAAAGGAAATGCTTTAGAATAAATAGAAAGGTATTATCTGTCAACCATTATTAATTTTTACTACTATTCACTTTCACCATATTTTTTTTTTTAAATTAAAAGTAGTATAAGAATGATACTATTGCTGTTGCACCAAGTGTCGTCCTGGGTAAGATGATAAACTACGTCCAGCAGCAAGGCCTCAGATGAGGAGGTTTTGAGGAGCATGGAACCACCTTAATTGCTGGTGTTCCCAGGTCCACCCTGACCCGGGGTGGTAGCACCTGTTAGGGCTCCAGTTATGGGCAAATAGTTAACTATTATCAGCAATACTTTTTTTGAACAAAATTATTACCAGCAATGCAATTTTGAAGGAAAAATATAACCTGGAACAGATTTTTGACAAAATATTACCTGCAATAAAAAAATTTGTTGGCATTAAATAACCCATTAAGGTTGATATGCTGTAAAACAAAATTAACCAATCCAAACCAAAAAATACTATTCTATTTGTACAAATCTATCCTAAAGTTATGTTGTCGGCATTAAATAATCCATTGAGGGTGATATGCCGTAAAACAAAATAAACCAAACCAATCTAAACCAAAGAATGCATATTCTATTCATACAAATCTATCCTGAAAATGTTGTCAGCATTAAATAACCTATTGAAGGTGATATGCCGTAAAACAAAATAAACCAAACCAAACGATATACCAAGTGTAAGAATAATACTGCTGCTTCTTGCAGTGTAAAAAAAATATATCCTGTTGACACACCTTGTGTAAAGCTGTGCAAGTGGTGCAATGGATAATGAGCCAGAATGAGAAATTGGATAGTAGAGTTTGAATTCCAATTGGGTTCATTACATTCGTGTGCATGCCACTACACTAGGGAAAGATATGAATCTATGTCCTCTTCACATCTATACGTTGAATAGTAGCACTTGAATCTGGAAAAATCATTGCTGTTCTCAAAAAGAAAAAATGTTAATGCATTTTCCATTTACAAAAAAAATGGTATTATTCTTAGAATCCAAGATATATTTCAATTTCAAACTAACCTACAAAGGGTTGATAAACTGTAAAAAAAAAAAAATCAAGATTTCAAATGAATTAATCAGAAATAATTCTGTTGATACTCCTAGTGTAAAACAAAACTAATATGAAGCTGATAATGATCATGGAATGAAGGGAGAAGTTATTGATTAAATTTGGTCTCTCCTACAAATCTATCAAGTTCTTTTAACAGATAAAAAGCAGCTGAATATTCCCCAATGTGAGTTTGAATCTCATTGAGTTTATTTTTATTTCCAATCCTCTATTGCAGGTTAATGGACTGAATAAAAGATGCAATAAAAAAGCAACTAAAAAACAACATGAAAGTAAAAATAAAAGTCAAACTGTAGAATTTATTTTTTTAAGGGGAAAAAAAAACAACTTTTCACTATCATGAATATGTAGCATCGATTTTTAAGTTTGGAATTTTTTCAATTTATATTTTAATTTCAGAAGTTGCATTTGTAATAAAATGTATAAGTCTGCATATAGTAATATATAAAATTCAATGTTCACTTGTCTCTATTCTGAGTTTGTAAAATTTTCACAATTAAGTCTCCTGATGAGTGGATGTAATCTTTGTGAAACTCTGAGTAGACAAAGTAAGTGAACTTTTAATTTTTATTAATTACTGTTAATAATATCTTGATATTGAGCAACTATAATTACAGAGTACTTAAAAACATTACCTTCCAGAATTTTTTTTTTATCTTAAGTCTGCATATGGGAAAACGATATATAAATTTTTATATATCCAGAACAATTTTTGTGAAAAATCTATGACAAAGTGGAAAAAATTCTTCACGTTATGGATTTCATCTTTAGGACTTCATTGAACTAAAGTGATGTTTATGTTGATGTGACTGCACATTCATATGAAGGAGAGTGGATGCTGAAATTTTAAATTTAATTTTTTTTTTTTTAATGTAGTTTAGGTATAATAGTTACCTGATTTCATTTAGTTTCTTTTTCGTTTTGTTTGTTTTTAAAGAGATAAAAATTTATTTGAGGCTTGAAGTTTGAAAACGGAAAAAATATACAGTGTGTTAGATCTACATAGCAGCTAATTGCATTTAAATCAGCAGCAGAAGGCTTGGCACCCCTGCTGGTTAAAAGTGGTTCAATCCTGGAGCTTTATTTAATCTTTGCCAATTCCTCCTTTGTGAGTTTTTATATTAGGTCCCTGGAGAAACCTTGTCACTTTGAATAAGCTATTTCCTTTTAGATGTTGTATCTGCTCTTAATAGTCTATATACCCAAAACACATATATATATATATGTAGTCACATCAATGTAAATGTTAGACAGTCCTAAAGAATGAAATGTGCCACACACTACTTTGTTACTGATTTTTTTCTAAAAAAAAATCTTGCATATATAAAATTTAATTTTAGTACCTGCTCTTATTTATAGCTTGGAGAATCTATGCGTGCATGGGTAAATTACCATAACAGAATGCAAAGTTGAAGGTATTTTTTTTTTTAATACTTGTACCTGAATCATTTAGATTTTGGTTAAAATTTTTTTTTTTTTTTTTTCTTTAAATTGTTTCAGTTTTTATTGGTCGCAAGCTGATGGGTCTGTGGATGGGTGAAGCGAAAATTCATGAGCTTTACACTGCTGCTTGTGGCCTTTACATTTGTTGGTTGCTACTGAGGATAGGCACTGTACTCTACAATTGGATTCCTCAGGGAACTGCTGTCATCATGAAGAAGCTTAAGGAATGGGCCATTTTGGTATGTATCCAATGTTTTTTTTTTTTTTTTTTTTTTGTTTAAGCATGAAGGTGGTGATCATTCAAACAGAAAATTTAACACCTGTTATTTTCTTTATCGGCTTTGCAAAGCATAAATTTATTTTATTTGTGATGATTATGAATGGCAGCTCCTTGCGTTGAACTCCTATTGGGACTTGAGCTCACTCCAGACCTCAAGTGGAACTCACGCATATGGTACATTGCTAGAGATGCTGGAAAAATAACTGGTTCCTTGTACCGCACATGTAAGTACCTGATCCTGCCTGCTATGCGCTATCTTTACAAGACCCAGATATGACTAAAAACATATTTGGGATAGAGTTAACCAGTCCACACTTTCCAGCCTTGAGTTCAGAAGTGTCTACATGGCTTTGTGGGTTATTCATTTTTTTTTTTTTTTCCCACTTTACAACCCGCAGACAAAATACCTCAAACCTCTTGCTACACTCACTATTTCTATGGCAAATTTTCTAACAAGCTACATTCCTTATTTTCACCAGCCCTGACCATTACAGCTAAGACCTGCCATGACATGTACACAGTCGAATCATCCTCATTCCCTTTATATTCCATTCATAAGGAGGAAGTTTCAGCATCTTCCAAAGAACTGTTAAGTTGTGGAACAGTCTCTCAAGAGGATGCTTCCCCAATCACTACAATCTTAACCTCTTCAAGTCTATGGTTAACCATTAACTTTCTTACAGTTCCTCTTAAAATAAACCTCCTGCACTTATGTGTAACCACCTCAATCAGTAACTCTCTCCCTTGAATGCCTCATGGGCCTTGTATAGTGAATAATTAGTAAAAAAAAATCATAATGTATTTGACTTTGTTTCTTGTTTGATTCCTAGGAAGTAATTTTTTGTTTTTTTTTTAATCTGGAAATTGTTTTCATGTGTGTTTGTAGGATGTATAATAGTAACCAAGACAGAATGGAAAAGCTATATACACACGCAGTGTTTCAGCAAGAGCATCTGCTCCCTCTGGCTTCCTCAGGTTAGAATGAAAAAACAGACAAAACTGTATATAAGGAAAAATGTGTTTTGAATCTTTGAGGATAAGTGAGGACTATAAATCAAATTACATTATCACATCCAATGTCCAGACACAGAAAATGTCTGTCTCTGTTTATATAGTGTGTGTGTGTGTGTGTATATATATATATATATATATATATATATATATATATATATAGGCAGCAATCTTGAATTTATGTGTTTCATTAAAGACAACAGACAAGGTACTATGATTATTCTTTTTATTTAATTTTCTTGTGTTCGAACAAGTGTTTTCTTTCTGGACACAGTGTGTGTAGAAACTGTCCAAATATTCTATAATTCTGAGTGCTATGCTTTTAGCCATTATCAAGGATGATTTTATTTTTGCTTTTTAATTGGGTGTATGGGTTGTATGCATGTTTTTAGAGTTATAGAGATGTTTCATTTTCTGAACTCCATCCAAAACATACTAGTAGAAAATACAAACATAATAACCTCATCTGCATGTTTAAAAAAAAAAAAAAAGATTAAAAATGATGGAAGCCTTTATAATAATAATAATAATAATAAAAAAGCCAATACTTAATAATATTAAATATGAACATGGCTAGAATGTCCTATGTTCGGAAAATAACACTCCTATAGCTCTAAAAACATACACACAACCCATACACCCAATTAAAAAGCAAAAATAAAATCATCTTTGATAATGGCTAAAAGTATAGCTGAAAGTGCATGGAATTATAGAACATTTAGACAGTTTCTACACACTCTGTGTCCAGAAAAGTTCAAACATTTGTTCAAACACGAGAAAAATTAAATAAAAAGCTTAATCGTAGTACCTTGCCTGTTGTCTTTAATGAAACACACACACACACACACACACACATATATATATATATATATATATATATATATATATATATATATATATATATATATATATATATATATAAGAGCTGTTTGTTGTCTGTTGGATTTTAAATCAGTTCATAGAAATTATTTTTTTTATCTTTATACTTGTACACACATGTAACTATGCATATACACATATTAGATGCCAAATATTGATGTTGGCAGGAGGGTAAAAACATATTTGCTCTTTAATTTGCCTGGAATACAGAACAATCGGGAAAATTTTGCTCTAAGGCAGTCCTGCACAATTAAAAGTTGTGAAATGGCCACATTGATCACAGAGAATTGCTACTGGCCACAAAAGTATTTATTTCAGTATAAATTACTGAGTGTGAGTGACATAAATACAGAGATACATTTAGAAACAGATATATACAGAGATGGATGGTGAGAAGATTCTTTTTTTTTTCTATGGAGAATTAAAATAGGATTAACAAAGATTAAATACAAAGGCAGTGAAATATGTATTGAATAAAGTAACGCTTCCACAAAACTGAGTTTTTCATATGCACTCAGTCCCTGGATTTATTCAGGAATTGAATTGTGATATTATGTAGGGTGTTGGTCTTGGTTTTATTGTTGAGAATTGAGAGATTAGCACACTCTCGTTGCATTTTCTTCTTACTAAATCCTTTTCTCTTCTGGTCAGATATATTACACTGAACTATAAATGTCAGCTTGATCCAGAGAGAAAAAGATTCACTAAGAAGAAAATATATTGAGAGTGCGCTGATCTCACGATTCTCAACAATAAACATAAGACCAGGCTCATACATAATATCTCTGATCATCACAAAAACAATAGCAGAACAATATGGTATGAGAATTAATAGAGGAAAAAAAAAGATCGATTTGGAGTGAGCTGATTCAAAATCCACTTACCTAAATACAAACATCATGTCTACATAAGTTTATCCACCCTCTCTCCCACACATTCATTGTGTAATAGAAATGTGTTCTATTTATGCATTCATAAACATTTATTTGAAGGCTTCAGGGAATTCTAACTTGGTATGTCACAGAATGTTGACTAAATATAATTAATTATGCAAAACTTAATTTAAAGGAAAATTTAAAACCCATTTTTTTTTTTTTATCACTGACACTGACTGACCTTAATTTTTCCTTGAATTATATTTATACTGAATTATATATACTATTATACTGAATTAAGTTTTTCAGCTTACAGGAATCCCCAATAAACATTTGCAATCACTGAAGAATTTGTTTAAAAGATGATATAAGAGTGGATGTAAAAAAAAGTTCTCAGATGAATGTTTTTCAAATATTCTGACCAAATATTTATATATTTGAATGTTTTTAAAAAATCCTTCCAAGTAGAACCTAGAATTTTTCAGCCGCTTCCTTAATAAATACATAGACTATTTAGGTTACCTGATATTTTCCTTATTTTAAAATTGACTTACCAAATAATACCATTCTGTGGAATTGAATCAAACTGTTATCATCTTTGCTTTTTCCATTCATACCCAAAGATCCAAGAATGGAATTTCTCATAAACCAAATTTGGCTTATGAGAAATTTAGTTCATGGCGAATATTCTTTTTGTCTTTAAAAAAACGTTCTAGAATATATTATTGAGAATTTTGGTACTTTAGCTTTTACTATCAGTAATTAGAAATAAGGTGTAGTTTTGTAATTTCAAAATAGGCAATATAATAATAATAATTTTTTTTTTTTTTTTTTTTTTTTGTTCCTGTTTTTTCTTATTTCTGAAAAGTCTTATTTTGATTCTGATTGTTCCTCCCTTAGCACGACCATTACACCCTGCCAATACCTCATAGATAATGGACTATTCTGTTTTGATCATGTGGAAAGATGGAAAAGACACATCAGAGATGCTACTTGGTTTTGATGAAAAAATGAAAGAAGGGAAGATAGAAGTGTTTAAAAACTCTTTCAGTGAAATAGAAAAAGTTTTCAATTTCAAATCTTTTCATTTGTACCCCCATACTTCTTAAAATAATGACCACCATTCATATTTATTATTATTATTGCAATATTTTGTTAAAGTTGTTAAGCTCGGATATTTAATGATGCAATAGGGGAATTTCTACAAATATTTTATTGTAGAATTTGCCATGAAGTTAATCAATCATTGACTTAAGAATTAAGTTTCATTAGGAAATTCAAAAAGGAAAACCGTAAAATTTTTCTGGGTATTTCTAGTGAATATTAATAAAGAGAGCCAGGTGCTAAGTGCCGTGAAAAGGAGCTAAATTAGCAACCCTCAAGATGATGCATGTAAATAATCCTAATTTTTCAGTTACTTTTTTTTTTTTGTTTTGAGTTTGAACATCTCTAACCCTAAATTTCTTCAGTTATTCTTATTCACTATTATTCATCTCTATCATTTTTTAATTCATTTTATAAAGTTTTATGCATCCACTTCTCCTTGCATGCTTGATCAATCACTCCATGTGTAGGGAATCTGCCCACACACTCTGCTTGGATGATCCAAGAAGTAAACCTTATATACTTATAACATGACACTTTTTTAATTTTTCCATATTTTCTTAACCTCTTTTTTTCATTATCTTGCTTTCTTCATTATCTTTTATAACAAAGAAAATAAAACCCTGACTGTGGAAAAAAAACAAAAACAAAAACAAACCCAAAACCAAACTATTGACCTTGTATTCTTGTTCATATTGATGAATATTTTCCTCTGTTGTCCTTTGCAGAAACTCTACTTTTGCATAGATTTATTTAAAAGGGAATTACCTACAGGACTTTACCTAGTCAGTTCTAATGTTCTTACAAATTGCATCTTTCTCTTTATTCTCAAGGATGTTTAGAGAATTTTTCTTAGGTATTTTTTTTTTTTTTTAATGTAAATTTCTGCCTAGCATATCTTCTTGTATGCCAAATAAAAGTACTGGCATGTTTTAAATTATTTTCTTTCATTTTCCACCAGACATGGTGCTTATTTGGTATGGCACACTTATTAGTTTTCAAATAATTTTCTTCATGGCATGATTATTTTGTTCCAGGAATAAAAAGTATCACACTTATTTTCTAAGTTTAAAATATAAGGCTATTCCAG